TTTGCAAGGGTATACAAAAAAAGAGAGGCCTAGAGAGAGCATTAAGTGTCTGTTTGTATGGGTATGTGTGTGTGTGTGTGTGGGTGTATCTTTTGACGGGTTGTACTACGTCAACCACAACAAGAACAACAACAACAACAACAACAACGGCTATGACGTCGTCATCATCGCTCTAAGCTATGTTGTATATAAGTACGATGATTGTGAACGTCGTCATCAATTTACAACACATAACCCCAACCAGTGTTGCCCATTGGTCTGAAGAAGCTCATTTGCATACAATGCTGGAATGCTATTGAATTAATATTTGAACATATATATTTTGTATAATAAACATTTGAAATTAGTTCATTCAATAATACTGTGCCAGTAGTCAACTTTTTTCTATCTTATTTAAAGTCAACACGTGAGCAAAGGAATTAAATGAAATACTTCTAATGTAATCGATATTTTTGGAGCTTGCAATTAGCTTTACGAATGGCATACCCTTTCTTTAATGCATTAAACTTTGACGACACTTTTAATGTAATCGATGAAAGACATTGTAATAACTTTTAAATTGTTATACAGGTGACATAAACATTGAGTAGCAGTATCCTTGTTGTAATGAGATTAGGCATACTCTTGCTGTGGTTGATTTGGCTGAAACAATGCCTCGAATGTAGTCTGCAATTAGTTCCAAATTTGGAATACTATTTCCGTAATATGTCCAACATACGTATATAATACCTCTAATGTAATCGATAAAAGATAACGTAATGAGTTTGAAAAGGAATACACTTACTGTTATGCATTTGATTTGATAAGTTTAAATAGGAATACCCTTACAGTAAAAATGGAATTGAATAAGATTGCATTTAACTTAGGTATTACCTATAATGTAATCGATATTTTGAGAGTCTGAAGACGACTTCAGCTTTAGCTTTAGCTTTGGGAACACCTTTCATTTAATCGATAAAAGACGAGGACGTGATCAGATTGACTTAGGAATACCATTATGAATATAATCGTGACCAGAACTTGTTTCAAACGATAACAGAACTTTCTGATAATCATTAAGCAGAGGCATATCAGAAAGTTTATGCGGAGAAGCCAGTGAAATCTAAATAGCAAAATGCTGAATGCTAAAATGATATATGTTGTTTACAATAGCAACAAACAACAACAAACAACAACATATCAATAACAAGAAGGTGTTGGGCTTTCGGTGGCTCTCTCGCTCTGGTCACGTATGTCACGACGCTTTCCCTAGTTGTGTGTTGTGTGTTTTGTTGTCAACTTGATTGTTGGGAGGTCTCATCAAGCTTTGTGCTTTGTGCTTTATGCCACATTTCACTTACTCGTCTTCGAGCAGCACTTTTGCTTTCCTTATAGATTTCATTTTCATGTCTTGCAATTGACATGTTTTTTTTTTCATTTCTTTTCTTTCTTTTTTTTTTTGGCTTAAAAAAGAGCAATCAACTATGTCATAATTGGTGGAATGAACAGTTTTCTTCTTCGAGTGTATAAATTGTATATAATATATTGTCGGGTTTTAGCTTTGTGGCTTTATTCATCTTCTTCTGACCAGTTAGTCAGTTTCAACTTTCATTCTTGTTCACCTTTGCCATTTGGAAGATTGCTGAAGAGCCCTTTGCCTTTGAAAATATTTCAATCTGACTAACTCATCCTTTATTTTCAAACTAAATTACTAACTGCAAACAAAAATGTTGGCTTTATCTTGCCGCCAAAAGTAATTACAAGCTTAAAGCAAATTCAATGCATTTATTTTGAATCAAAACTAAGCCAGATACAAAATAATATTGAACAAAGTGAACAAATTGTTCTTGGAAATTCCGTTTGTCGACTTTCTCCAGAAGGAATTTGAATGATGATGTGAATGCAAATAATAAACAGCATTGTCATGCCTCAAAGTAAAACCCACTCCTATCTATCAATGTGCAGCAGCGTCAAAGCCAAGTCAAAGCAATGCAAATTGAGGAAAATTGCGAGTAATGTTCAAGTTATGCAAGACAAAACACAATAGTAAATGCGACGCAATATGTGTATTGGTATTAATTAATATTAACCACATGCAGCGAGCCAAAATTATTTCAGTTGGACGCATACCAGAAATTGCCAAAAACATTTTCACATTTCGTTAACCTTCAATTGAATTTGATATTCGAGAAAATCATTCTATTGTTATTAATTAATAATAGCCATACGAAAACAAAAAAGGACATTTAACATTTAATGTTAGGTTTGAGAAAATCTCTCTCTCTCTCTCTCTCTCTCTCTCGATTGTTAATAACTACAAACCACAAATTGGTTTAGTTCAGTTCGATATTCGATTCCAATCAAAGGTTGCTGTCTAAAACAGTTAACAGTCAGGTAAGCAGCTGGAATAGCTGCCCAATGCTTGCGCCAGTTGCAACTACATTTCGATTGTGCAACATTGCATTGGAAATGAGAAAGTTTTAATCTTTAATAATTGCCTGATTCAACTATCTAAATTTGTTACTGTCTACAGAATTTTATGCTGCATTCACACAGAGAACGACATCAACCATCAATCATCAATCAAAACAGAAACAACAACTTTTAATTCTTCCTTAAAATTGATTTATAACTTATAATTTTTAAGTATATTGACTCGGTTATTGATACTGATCAAGTATATATAGATAAAGATGATTCCTTCAGGCATTTAACAAATTTTCGATATGTATAACAAACGGAATTTGTCAAGAATTGAACCGTGGTTGGATCTCTCGATAGAAATAGTTATCGAAACCCTTTTCACATCATTGTTTCCACTTTGGCATTGTTCGTTTGGTTTTCTATTGTTGACAAATATTGAATTTGCAACAAGATATTAACTCGAATGATGAATGAAGAATGTGCGTTGTGAATGCAGCATTCGTGTGATTTGAATGTCAACAGGTGACAGGTGACAAACTGGCGACAAACTCTTTCCCCATTGCTCCCCATTAGAAAGTGCAGTGAAAGCAGACAAAACTCAGCTCAATCGACAATAACAATTGAACAAAAACCCTTTTCATGCATTCAACACTTAAATTGTATATATTATATTATATTCATGAGTGTCGTCAGTCACTCAACCAGTCCGATGCTAAAGTGTGCCTATTATGAATGCATATTATATTTCATTTTTGTTCGTTGTTTTTGTTAGGCCGGTGAAAATTTTACGCAAACAATATGACAGGCTGATTAGATTAGATTAGATTAGTTGAGGAGCGCCTTAAACTTTCTTTGCTGTGTGTGTTATCGATAACAACTAACAAAATAATATGTACATGTCTACAAATTTGGGAAAGAACAATTGTAGTACAGTGAGTGCTCTCTAATTGGAACTACGTAGATGACACTCTGACATTGAGCGTAAAAGTCGAAAAGAATTTTTCAATCCAGGGACTTTAGTTAACAGAAATCATTGTTTTTTTTTTTTCTTTATTTACATATTTGTTCTGTTAAACAAACTGTTAATGTAATGATTTCATGATATCTGATATCATTAGAATAATTAAGAATGTAGTACTCAAATTTTCAATTAGATATTTTACTAGACAACAGATATATATGCAATTAGAAATTTTAGTTAAAATATCGATTCTTTGTGTTTGTCAAACTATCAATTAATATTATTGGAATTATAGAGTTTTATACTGAGTAGATTGTTCTTTCAGGCTAATTTAATTTTTCAAAATAGGGAAAAAAAATTTCGTTTTGATATTTCAGTCCGAACAAATTTTTGGGATATTGATTGTACATTTGATGGTATTGTAATTGGTTAAAAAAAAATAGATTTTAGATAAAATATCTAATTTGAGTTGGACAGATTTTGAAACGTTTCTTTTTTTTTTTTTGTGGGTGAGCCTACTGTAATTTTATTTGGGTTTATTGAGATGGCATCCGGTGCTACTTCCACTTCCCATTCCAGCCCATTGGACCCATTATCGCAAGTTTGTGCTGCTCATTCAGCTGTGAGTGCAAACAACAAATTGATCAATTGAATGGAGCCTCATTCAGCACTCGTTGAGCAATTGAAAAACCCACCCAGAACCGCACCCCCTCCCGCCCACACCCATTACTATTAGAGATAACAAGTACATATATATATATATATATATATATATATGAGTGTTTTGATATATATTGACAAGAATTAGATGAATTAAGCGATAAACATGTATATAAAAGATATTTAACATATAAAAGGCCAGCGCACGTGCTTTAATTATTGAGCATTAATTACTCCACATTCTTATCGATATCGAGGCGTTTATAGATCTGCTAAAGCAACTGACAAGGTCAAAGTGATTAAGGCGACCAGCTTTCATTTCAATTGACAACAGCTTTAAAGCAACAACGATTGATTTTCTTTATCGATGGTAGCAAGCCTCTGCCAGCAGTGCTGGCGTTTCAGCTTCTTAATCGCACGAATCTTCAATAAGCTGTTATGTTCTTCGCGAGTTAAAAAACTTTTTAATTTTATAGAAATTGGTTTATGGACTTAAAGTACAAATTTAGCAAACAAATAATCTACAAATTATTTTATTTACCTAACCCATTGGAAACGGTTTAAGAAGATTATCGATTGATCAACTGGATAAATTTAGAACACAGAAGTTGTTAGATCAACTCATTTGTTCTTATCTTTGTATTGTTTGTGCTTAATTTTATTTTTCTTTTAGTTTAATCACTTTTCCGTCTGTTTTTTGCCTTTTCTTTCTACAACTCTTTATGTTGGAAAAGGACAAGAATCAATATTATTGATACAAATTCAAATATTAACAGTTATAAAAAGATCACCAACCCACAATTTGATAAATATTCAATTTTGTTTCATTTATTTTTTGACTAGCCTTTTTCCTAATCAAGCGCTTGGCATCACTGTTTCCCATCCACCCACCTAAAGAGAGAGACACAGACCCACAAACATTCTCACGCATTCTTCTCTCTCTCTCTCTCTCGCTCTTATTGAAAAGTATACGTACTCATGCTAACAACTCCATTGTTGTTGTTATTGTTTTTTTCCGCTGCTTCTAGTGACTGCGACGCATCATCGGCGCTGGCAGCTCGATTGAATTGACGCGGTTTGCGTTTTTGAAAGCGCAAGCGTAGCTCTGTGTTCAGAACGAGCATCGCGTCACACACACACACGCACAGATACACACACACACATGCACTATATAGAACTAGTGCTGAGCAGCGAATTGGAATTGGAGCGAGATTTGCAATCGTTATCGGAACTTATTGAAGCTTCCTCTATCTCTATGCAGTAATGCATAACAGATTTAAACGCAAAAAAAATTAACAAACAAAATAGAAAATATACTGTTTTTTGCTAGTTGAATTTTCTCAATTGATATGATATTGAATGGATCGCACAGTATTCTTTTTTGATGATATCACCCTACACATGGAACCGGGCGGGACGAGGACGGCAAGCGCGCTTATGCATGCATATATATCTATATATATCTATATATTTTTTTTGTTTTTCGCGTGAATATTTTTCGCGTGCGACTAACCGAATTGACGGTGACTGACTAACTGGCTGACTGTCTGTTTGTCTCTGTTTACTTGCTGAGGCGCAGCTCGGGAGCTTCCAGTCAGCAGCGAGCAGCACGCGTGCTGAGCGTTTTTTTTTGTTCCCCTCTTTTTTTTCTTCTTACAATCTAATCGCTTGGCGCTGAACGTTGAGCAGCAACAAGTCATAGGGCCTTTTAGCTTTTAGCTTGACCGACTGCCAGATACCCTGTACTCAGATATGTATGCATCAAAGCATGTACAATTGCAACTAGCTAATTCATCATTTAATTGGCATTTAGCAACTGTAAATATTAACAAAATATATAGTAAATTCCATTTTTCATTGAGTTAAGGGCGCATTACGGGAATATGGGGGGTCTCATGAGAAAAACAACAACAAAAAGGACGGAACGCTGGCAATCAGTGCTGCCAGACTGGCTTTTAGTAGCAAATTGGTTGTTCGGTAAATGCAAAAAAATTCAAGGATTAAGTGCCGTATCAATTGATTTTTTTTAAAGATTATTATACATAACAAAAAAACACAAATATTTTTGCATTTTTGTTGCTTTTTCAAATGCCAAGCAACACTGATGAGTAATTGGGTCGGGGGAGTTGGGGGTGGATGGGGCTGATCAGATGAGCGATGCGGCTGCAAGTATACACATACATACACATACACACATACAACACACACACACACAAACACGCATGTACGCAAATTTGTGTGTTACTTAATTTTTAACACTTTCAGAGGCGCATGCACTAAAAATAGAACTTGTTGATAAAACCAGAGCCATAAACCGAGTGCACATTTTGGGGCAGCGTACGCATGTGTGTGTGTGTGTTTATGAGTAAATGTATATGTGTGGGTGAATGGACAAAATCGGCGGTAAATAAGCAACGGCATTTTGTATTTGCTTGTGGTTATTGCTGTTGTTCTGGAAGCTTATTGTGAATCATGCAAAACAATTGTGAATGCTGTTGTTGTAGGCAAGGAGCTGGCAGCAGCATGCACACATAACACACACGCACACGCACACAAACACACACACGAACACATACAGAGAGCTAAGCTGCTGCTGCAGGTGTTGTTACATATAAATTGCTTATTATTATTGTTACTTACCTATTTTGTGCATGAGGCTCATTTTTTCCTTGGCTGTTGACAGCATTCAAATTGATTTGTATTATTTTGTTGTTGTTGCTGTTGTTGTTGTTGATGTTGCTGCTGATGCTGGACGGCAGCGCTGCGTCGCTGAGTCGTTGCCTTCTGCAGCCGCACACCGAATTTACACTCGCACGCACACATACACATACGCAGCTACTACACATTGACAGACACACATATGCACATCCATATACACACACACATTTATATATATATATAAATATATATATATATATATATATATACACTTGCACACCCGCAAAGCAAATCAAAAGGCGCTCGCGTTTTTTACGTTTTAACGTTAACGCTTCAGCATTATCACAATGCGCAATTGCGCACCGATGGCGTCTCGCTTGACATTAACATTGGCATTGCACTGCAATCAACTTAATTCAACTTCATACAATAAATACAACAAAAAAATAATAGAGTTTGCGCTGCAGCAGTTGGGGCGGCAGAGCAATCGATGGCACTATCGTTACGTTTCAATCGATATACATAGTGGTGCGCTTGGCAAGTCAGACGTGCTGTTGTGCAGCCCTGTTGTCGAATATTCGGTCACACTACGCAACTGATTTTAAATTAAATCATTGCTTCAAAAAATCTGTAGGATAACTGAAACTAAAATATGTGCGCAAAAATTATTTGCAAAAAGAATTTGCAAACAAATTCAGAGCTTAGCCATTAATATTTTAGATATTGTTCAGTAACATAAAATTGGAACGCCAGGCGATATATCGATAAGTGTACGAAGCGAGAAATCCAAGTAAAGGCTAAAATAAAACATCCTAACCATTAGCATCTGCATACATATCGAAAACTGTCCATCACATATATTGCACTCCTTTAGTTTTTCGCGCCCCATATCATAGAAAATAACTCGTGTCACGCTTTTAGTCCATCTCTAAGCAATCGGAAATCGACAAGAAATCGAGTCATACAAAAAATATAACATCGACTCATCGATGTCTGTGTTAAACAGCGGGCAATACAGCACCGAAAAAAAGCCGATGCAACATTTTTTACAATAAAAAAAGTAATAGAAATTGAGCGGTTGCATGTAAAAACTGATTGAAAAGGGCGTGCCAAAACACAGATTGTGAGTGCTTTTTTTCATGTTCGGTGATTTAATAAGTTACAAATTGCAAATGCATTCTTAAATTATTGTTTCCATCCTGCCTGTGTGTGTGTTGCGTGCTTGTGTGTGCAGCATTTCATTTTTTGCATGTTCCATATATGTGTGTGTGAGTGCGAGTTATGAGTGTGTGTATGTGATGAATCGGGTGCAAGCTGCTCCTTTGTTTGCAAGCTTCGTTGTTAGTGTTGTAGTTGTAGTAGTTAGTGTTGTAGTTGTCGCTGCCAGCGGCGCCAGTGTTAAAAAGGGTGTGTGCCGGCACTGAAAACAACAAAACAAGCTCAGCTCCTTTTGCTGCCACATCCGTTTTCTTGTTGTTGTTTTTTCGAGTGTTTCTTTTGATTGTATTTTTTTTTTCGCTGTGCCAATTAATTGCACGCACTTTGACTGTTAAAACTAACCAAAGTATAAAACCGTTAAGTACATGACAAATGCAGAAAAAATGTCAATAAATGCATATATGCATGTAACGACAGCAACAACAAACACAACAAGTAACGGTAACCACCACCAGGAGGTCACTTGCGCGCTCTGCCTTCTCCCTCACTCTGCTTGGGTGCCATAGTTTTGGTGGTGGTGGTGGTGGTGAAAAAACAGAAACAGCAAAAGAAAAACAGTTGCGCCCATATAAAGCTGCCGGACGTGCCGGCGTACCCGGTGCCGGTGTTTCCACCCACCCCCAACAAAGTATTTATCGGCTGCAGCAGCTCACTCAACACACACACACACACACACACAAAGTACACCCTGCCAAAAAGAGAGAGACACTCAGTTTGTGTTTTGCTCTTTCTCTCTCTCACTCGCTCGCTCTCTAGCGGATGCTGCCTGTCTGTCTGCCTGTCTATTTTGCTCTCCTGCAGGTTGGGCTCTGCACTTGTTTCTGCTTCTGCTGCTGCTGCTTCTTCTTTTGCTTCTACCTCCTTCTCGAGCTCATTTCTGCTTCATTTTCAATTCCCTTTTTGCCAATGTCCGCCTGCCGACGCCTGCCGCCACCACCCAGCTTCCGCCCAGTTGCTGCGTGTGTGTGTGTGTGTATGTGAGAGTGTGTGCGTGCAGTTTTCTATTCGCTATATATATATATATATATATATATATATGTGTGTATTTTTTTTTTCTAAATCACTTGACCCGATTACCTGGTGGCTGCATCACCACCACTACCACCATCAGCAGCAGACTTGGAGCGTCGTCAAGAGCCAAAGATGGTCATTTGTTTTGCCGCTTTCTAACGAACCAGTTGAATTTGCGCACGCGTCGTCAAAGTGAGCGCAACTCTGTCTTCTTTTTCTACCATTCTTCGTCGTAGTTGTTGTTGTTGTACGCGAATTGCTGTTGCTGTTCTCCAATACTGGCTGCACTTGAAAGGCGAAAAACAAAAAAAAAGCAAAAGATTTGATATGTAAGGAAAGAGACGCGTCACTTGTTCCGGCTCCAACTGCAACCAAAAAATACAAATTACAAGCTTGCATTCGTGTGTGTGTGTGTGTGTGTATGCGTGTGTTAGAAACTCACAAAAAATGAACAAATTTGGCCAAAAAATAAGCAAGCTAAATAGAGCTTAAACATAAAGTGCGAAAATCATAAATTAGAAAAAAATCTCAATATTAGCTATGTTAAATAGCTCTCTCTCTCTCGCTCTCTCTCTCTCTATTTATTGTGTTTGATGTCATTGTTCCTTTCGGAACACTTTTTAATGCATATGTTTTTAAATATGATTTTCAGCACTAACTTTACTTACACATATTTAGTATATATTGTGTATATGCATGTGTGTTTGTATGCCAGCTAAAAATGCTAGATAAAGTTTCATTTTGTAATTGGCTGGCGTATGAATCATTTGTTAATAATTAGCGCTTGAAATGCGATTCAAATCACAAATTCTATATAACAAATACTATATCATCAGACGTTTTTAAGTTCAACTCCTCATTATATGCATAAATACAATAGTTTTTTTATTATGCATGTATTATGTGTGTACATATACATATACATATATGTACATATTCACATATGTGCACACACACGTACACATGATAATTTATGAGGCGCGGCACTTGTTTTTATAACGCTTACAAGTGGTCAACACATGATTTAGCATCAAAAAAAAAAGAAAAGAAAAGAACGCCGGAGAAGGAGAAGAAGAAGGACAACAAAACATGAAAGCCAACCAACACACGTACAGACATATTTGCGTATGTGTTTTAAAAGCTTATCCGGCATCTGTGTGCAGTCGTCAATCCAATCGTTAATCGGCATTTGGCATTCTCCTCATCGCATCGCGTTTTTGTTTTTGTTTTTGTTTTTATTTGCTTTCTCTTTTCATGTGACAAACACGCAGCACTATGTGTGTTGGGTGTAGTCCTCAATAATTGTAGCCAAGTGCAGCAGCAACAACAACATCATGATCATCATCATCATCATCATCATCATCATCATCATCGTCGTCATCAGACAAGTCCAAGTAGCTAGCTGTCCGTTTCTCATTCCATTATACTTCTTGAAGTTTCTGCGTATGGTCTGATAGTTATTGTTGTTGTTGTTGAAATGTTGTGAGTAATGCTGCTCAAGTGTGGGCGTGTCACAGGCGGCTGTCATCATCAACAATCATATCACAAAAACTGCTTATCAATTGATATGTACGCGTATGCGTACCCTTGTGCATCTGTGTGTTTTATTTTTTGCGCTTCTGCTTTGTGTGTGTGTTTCTATTTGTGCGTTATTGTTTGCTGCAGTGCTGCCGGTTGTTGTTGACCGTATTCATAATATGGCTGGTTTTCAGCAAGAAAGCGGCTAGACCAGATTTTGAAGTAAAATAAGTAAAAACTAAATTATAACAGAAGACTAAATATCGAATTTGTGTGTGATTTTTATTTAATTGCTAAATGTATGCTGGGCATAATAAAGCCAAACTATATTTGGCGGGTTAAAAGCTAGAAGCGCAACACTAATGAACGGGTATGATTCACCGGCTGGACAGGCAATAATAGCTAAAAACTTTGCAATTTATAATCTCACCATAAAACATACTCATCGAATTTCACATTTGCAATTCTAGCCGTAAACATAAAGGAAAGTACATCGACCAACAAGAGAAGGAAAAGCAAATAAGCGAATTTTGTTGCGTGTGGAATTTAACAAAGAGTTGGAAAATTGAGACGATCGCTTCGAGCTGATTCTAAACACAGCAATTGGCTAGCATCGAACCAAAACAGACACACACATATATATATATATATATATATATATATAGACATATATATATATATATATAAATATATATATATATATATAATGGCCTGGCGCTTCAAGGCTTCGAAGTACAAAAATGCCGCGCCCATTGTGCCAAAAGCGGAGGCATGCGTCCGCGAAATCAGCGTTGGCAGCTATCAAACCTATGGCAACAATATTGCCGCATCTGGGGCATTTATGGCATTCAATTGGGAGCACACCGGTTCGAGTGTGGCCGTATTGCCACTTGACGATTGCGGCAGGAAGAGCAAGACAATGCCACTGCTGCACGGCCACACGGACACGGTGACAGATTTGAAATTCTCACCCTTTCACGATGGACTGTTGGCAACCGCTTCCCAAGATTGTCTGGTAAGTGTCAGCGAGACAGAGCAAGAGAATAACAAAAACACTTCCTGACTCCTTTTCAAATATGTAGTTAGTCCTTCACCAGTATGCCGGGTTGTCTGCTGGAGCTTTTAAAGCACAAACTTTTTAGCGCGAAAGCTTCAGCTTCACAAAAGCTCTTCAAACATATTTCTTATTTGTATTGGTTTCTGCATCTCTTTTGTTTATTGCGCTGGCGCAGCTTTGCTTATTCCATTTTTTGTTTTGTTTTTCGATTTAGCAATTTGTGTAGTCAAAAATGAAACATTTTTCGATGTTAACATTTAAAATTGTTATATTTCCTAGTATAATACATCAAATTAACTTTCCATATTTGCAAAAATAGTACAATCCTCACAAGAAATATTTTCAAATGTGTCCTTTTTAATTTGCAAGTTTAGGGAACTTATGAATACGTTTTGAGAAGTGAGAAAGTGAGAAAGAAGCGAAACATGACTTTTACTAACCGCTTTCAACGTATTTAAATTAATTTGTATATAAAAAAGGACAAAAATAATCGAAAAAAAATAATTGCACAATTTTTCTAATGTGCTATTTGCTTTGGAAATTTTCCCTTCAAATGGACAGAAAAATTCAATTCAATTTCTATGGCGAATACCAAACAATATATAACAAAAAATGAACATTTAAAAAAATATTAATACCAATTTCGTTTTGTTTGTGTAGGTAAAAATTTGGCACATACCCGAAAAGGGTTTGGAACAGTCGCTATCGGATCCGGAGGCAGTCTTCTCGCACAAGCAGCGACGTGTGGAGACAGTTGGTTTCCATCCCACGGCCGATGGCCTAATGTACTCAACAGCAGCCGGTTGTGTGGCACTTTTTGATATTGCGGCCCAGAAGGAAATATTCTGTGAGTAAAATCAATTTCTAATTTTATGTCTATATAAAAAAAAATTCTATTTGCGCCTGTGCAGCAAACAATGAGCACCCGGAAGTAATACAATCGGTCAGCTGGCGCGAGGATGGCACCGTCCTGGCCACCAGTTGCAAGGATAAATGTTTGCGCATCTTTGATCCACGGGCCGCTGGAACACCGATCCAGATGCAAACAGAATCGCATCAGAGCATTAAGGATTCGCGCGTCGTCTGGCTCGGCAATCAGACGCGCATTTTAACAACCGGTTTCGATGCGGCCCGTTTGCGTCAGGTGATCATACGGGATATACGCAACTTTAATACGCCGGAGAAGACATTGGAGCTGGATTGTTCGACGGGCATATTGATGCCGCTCTTCGATCCGGATACAAATATGTTATTCCTCGCCGGCAAGGGTGATACGACCATCAACTATCTGGAGATCACCGACAAGGATCCGTATTTAATTGAGGGTCTGCGGCACACCGGTGAGCAGACAAAGGGCGCCTGTTTGGTGCCAAAGCGTGCCCTCAAAGTCATGGAGGCGGAGGTGAATCGTGTGCTCCAGCTAACCTCCAACATGGTCATACCCATCATGTACCAGGTGCCACGCAAGGTGAGCTTCTCAATTCAACTGTGCTCAAAATAATTGTAGTGAATATCATATAATGTATATTTATTTTTTGATCATTTTTCTCTTCGATATATTTCCTCACACAACTCATTTTTGTATTGTTGTTGTTGCAGACTTATCGTGACTTTCATGCCGATCTATATCCCGAGACGATGGGCTACAAGACAGAGCTGATTGCCAGCGAATGGTTGAATGGCACCAATCAGGCAGTGCCCAAAATGAATTTGGATCCGGCGAAACGCGAACACGGCGATGAGCCCATTATCGTAAGTTTTCCAACACTAGAAGCGACAGATCTACATAAATCAATATAAGTCGATCAATCAATCAGCCTCAATCTTCTGCTTCATTACATGAAGTATGGAAAGTGCTGCTCCTCTGATTCGGTTTCGGTTTCCATCGAATCCATCGGTTTGCGGTTTAGTATTCAAATCGATTTGTCTTCAAAGCATTTCAATCTGCTTTGCAATTCGGTTTCGGTTTGAAATCGGCTCAGAACTCAGCTGCTTGCTATAGTTTATATAGATATGGGGACTTTTTTAAGGTTATCCATTTGATCACCCAGAAATCTGTAACATTAAATTTTCTTTTATATCCATAAGTATGTATTTACTTGGCTTGGTTCAGAAATTATTTAAAATGAAGCCAAGAATATATAATAGATAAGGGGGCTTTTGTACGGTTATCCAATTGATCAGCTGCTTATCAGCAACTCATCTTTAACACTATATATACAAATATATATATATATATATATAGATACATCGCGGCAATCTGAACGATTTCATCAAGAACATTGAGAACCAAAAAACCAAAAGCAAGAATCAGAATCTAAATCAATGTAAAATCGCCGCCGCAACATCGACCAAGCGCAACGACAACGAACACTTTGTATTGCAAGTGCGCAAGTGCAACAACGGCGAGGAGAAGAATGGCAATGAAAGTAATGCTGCCACCGCCACCAATGAGAAGCAACGCTCGGTGCATGCAACCACCGAGTGCAGTCTGAGCCAAAGTGAGCTAATACGCAAATTTGAGGCGAAATACAAGACAGACTCGGAGAAGGAGCCGCCCTGCCAGGTGGATGAGAAGGAATCGCCCACCGAGCACTCGACCGGCAGCAGTGAGGAAGCCTCCTCCTCGGCGGCGCTGGACACCAATTCGGCCAGTGGCAGTCACTCGCCGCCCAAGCCCATGCCGCGCACTTCGCGCAATAATTCGCTGCCGGAGGCAACAAGCTGCGATTCGGCTGGCGAGTGCAACACGCCACGTCCGCGTCCACGCACAACAGCAGCAGCTGCCTACAAGGTGCCACAGTGAAGCCTCTACCCTTTTTTTTTCGATTTTTTCTATTATTATTTTGTGTAGCTAATAAATTTTATGCAATTCAAGTTTCAGTTATGTAAAGTACTCACAGAGGAAAACGAAGTTTTATTTGTCGCATTTTTCAGTTTCTTGATTTCAATATCTGAGACTTGGAATCAGATTAGATTTGCTAGGCGAGCTCCTGTTTATTTTGAGTTGTAGTTGGATTTTATTTATGTAATCGCTGCTAGCAAAGTGAAAAGTAAATTATTGTTTGATTGAGATTCTATTTTATTTTCAACGATGATATTTATTTATTTTATATATATTTTTTGATATATATGGGTCGATGTTTTCATAATATTTTTGGTACTTCACAGCCACGCCTGGGCCCGAAACCCTTTTCCAGCAACACTGGCGACGTGTCCTTTGACAAGGTGTTTGCTGTGCCCGTAGCGCCTGGATCGCACGAGAATATATCGAATGTGGGACAGGATAATGGTAGTGATCTGTCGACCACTCAAGCCAAGCCCGATCTCATTGTCGAAATTGAAATCAAGAGTAAATATAACGAGTAGCGAATTCACAAAAAAAACGAGTGTTATTAATAACATTCTCTCTCTCTCTCTCTCTCTCTCTCTTTGTCTCTGGCAGAAAACCATGAAGGCGATACAAATGTGACTGGAAATGGCAATGGTAATGGTGTACAAAAGTCGTTGACCACATCGGAGCGCCGCAAGGTAAATAAATAAATAAATAAATATGTTGTATCAAGATTCTTTGTTTTGATTACCAACACTTTAATGTTTAAACTAATCTTTAACTCTTGTGTCAAAATTCCGTTTCTTCTCTCTTGTAATACCAAAACAAAAAACAAAAAAACAAATTCCAAATGTATCCTGCTAAACTAACACCCAAAACTACTACTCCTGCTCCTGTGTACTTATGTGCTTTCACACACATACACACACACACACACACACACACACTACTTGTCTACTTAATCTACCCCGAAACAACTGTGCAACAAACATCTACAACAACATCCATCTATAGTCTTCGGCTGACGATGATGAATCATCCGATAAGGTCTGCAAAAGGATGCTCTCAATTTGTAATATTAAATAGAAATGGCTCACACATAAATTTCTCTCTCTTTTCTCTCGCAATATTTCAATTTAGATATTCGAACAGAACTCGGAGTCATCGGAGAACTCAACGGAGGGCGAAGATCGCACCGATGCCGATTTGCGACGCTTCTCCGCGGTGCGCAGCAGCATTGCCGAGCGACGTCGCGTCTACGAGAGTCGATCCAAAAGCCAGGTGGACGAAAAGGCTCAATCGCCGGTGCCACTGTGAGTAACAAATTCGCAAACATATCAAACTAGTAAGCCAGCACCAGCACTAAATTCTGATTAGAATAGAGCTAACGGGTAAGCACTCGTTACTTATCGAATGCAACGAGTCTTAATCGAAGCACACAACTTAGTATTTGGCACGCAGTACAAAAAATTAATTTTAACTAACGAGTGCGCACTCGTTACGTTTTAAAAGCAATGAACTAGCGAGTAAGCGTACTCGTCATTAGTTTAAAATGCAACGATTTTCAGTCGACGATACACTACACTTAATAACTCAATAATTCAATCTCAACTAACACGAACTAACGAGTTACCACTCGTTACTTTTTTGGAATAAGTGTCAATCGAAACTCCAAACATAAGCGAGTTATTACCGCCTTTGTTTATAGACTCAAGCAGTCGCCTGTCACCTGTCGCCTTATAAGCTAACAAACTAACCTAAAACAAACGAGTTCATGAAAACCATATTTTAGTTGGGAGTAAAAAACTTTTGATTAAATTACAACTTGATTTGCAGTTAAGTTGATCCATTGTAGGCATTTTACGTGATCTTAACCAAATGATTTGCTTTCGTTTAGGCGTCGCGAGAGTTCCAAGGTGGAGCCGCTTAAGCCCAGCCAGCAGCTGATGAGCAGCAACAGCAGCAATGTTATGCCACAGGCGGCGGCAACAGCAGCCACCGGTGGTATTGACAGTAAACGCATTTCGGTGCCTGAAGGCAAACTGATGGAGGAGCATCGACAGCAGCGTGGCAATGGAACAACCGCGGCAGCTGGTGTTGGTCTTGGTGGTGCTGGTCTCAAGAAATCCGCCACGGAGGCGGCATTTAGTGCGGCATCCACGAAACGCACCTCGACCGTATTTGGCAAGGTGTCCAAGTTTCGGCATTTGAAGGGCACGCCCGGCCACAAATCGACACACATTGAGAATTTGCGCAACTTGAGCCGCCAGATACCGGGCGAATGCAATGGCTTCCATGCCAATCATGAGCGTGTCGCAGTGCCATTGTCTGGGCCCGGCGGAAAGATTGCCATCTTTGAGTTAAGTCGACCGGGCCGATTGGCGGATGGTGTGATTCCATCGCTGGTGAATGGCAGCAATATCATGGACTTCCAATGGGATCCGTTCGATGCCCAGCGTCTGGCCGTTGCCTGTGACGATGGCATTGTCAAGCTGTGGCGCATCGATGAGGGTGGCCTCAATGAGCCAACGAATGCGCCGCTGGGTGAACTGACTGCTCATTTGGACAAGATCTATTTTATACGTTTTCATCCATTGGCCGCCGATGTGCTGCTCACAGCTAGCTATGATATGACCATCAAACTGTGGGATTTACGCACCATGACCGAAAAATGCACACTCCACGGCCACACGGATCAGATATTCGATTTCGCTTGGAGCCCCTGCGGCAAACTGGGTGCCACCGTTTGCAAAGATGGCAAAATTCGCATCTACAATCCACGCAACGCCGATACACCCATTCTGGAGGGAAACGGACCAGTTGGCACCCGTGGGGCACGCATCACTTGGGCCCTGGAGGGTCATTACATTGTCTGCACCGGATTTGACAAGTCAGTACTAGCATATTTCCAATATATGTATATACTTCTCTATATATGACTCGGGATTTGTTGTTGCAGGGTCTCGGAGCGTCAGATTAGCGTGTATAATGCACAAAAATTGACGGCGCCACTAAATACGGCCAGTTTGGATGTGTCGCCATCAATATTGATTCCATACTATGATGAGGATAGCTCCACGCTGTTTGTCACCGGCAAGGGCGACTCGACAATCTATTGCTATGAGATCACCGATGAGGAACCGTACATTTGCCCGCTGTCGCATCATCGCTGCTCAACGCTGCATCAGGGACTGAGTTTCCTAACCAAGAACCACTGCGATGTGGCCAGCGTGGAGTTCTCCAAGGCATACAGGCTGACGAACACAACCATTGAGCCGCTCAGCTTCACTGTGCCACGCATTAAGGTATTTACCCCGCTTAATAACTATAAATTTAATTGCTCAATGTGCAAAGAGTTGCAAATTAAATTAGACACATTAAAAAGTGCATAAGTCAATTAAAATTTCAAATTAAAAACAAAAAAAGATAAGAAATAAAGATGAAATAAAGAAGAGATTCTTGCAATATAATTAAAATATATTCAACAACTGGGTTCAGATCTGGTCAGGGTATATCGTAGTCGAGCTCACTTGACTACAGCAGCATGCTCATTTGTTTTTCTTCTTCTTGCAGAGTGAACTGTTCCAGGATGACTTGTTTCCACCCACACGCATCACATGGAGCGCCACGCTGTCTGCCGATGATTGGTTTGACTGCAACGACAAGGCCGCTGCCAAAGTCAGCCTCAAGCCCGAGGGCATGGATACGCGTTAGTAGAATTCATCATCTGAATCTGATACTCCAGTTTAGTTACCCCCCTCTCAAAAACAACTCTCTTTTAGTGTCCTCCATACAACAAGTGCCAGCGCCAGTCAAGAAACCGGAACACTCGCAATTCGCCAGCAAATCTGAATATGAGATCAGCAAGCAACAGGAGGTTTGTACTGGCGTTATCTCTTCTCTCTATTAGAAAAATTGAGTATTTTGTTTGTTGGTTTTGTTGCAGATTCAGAAATCGGTTAGCGCGCGCATGGAGTACACAACCAAGTTGGAGCAGGATGACATGGAGGGTGTCGATGAGAACGAGTGGCAGGAGTAGTGCCAAGGATGCAGCGATGCCTCCTACACATAAGCTCTATATATTCTTAAATATACACAAACTCATAGATAAGTTTCAACTCGTATATATATATATATATACTAATATATATATACACAAACCGATACAGACACTCACACACACACATACATACATAACACACATACATACAGACAAACAGACCCGGCGCAGGGCTTATGGCTAGGCAATTTGTGGGGCTTTTGCTCTTCAACCATTCCCCCTCCACACACGAACCCACCCCACAGCGTGAGCAGGCTGGCTGTAAACGCTTTTTGGGCTCCAGCCATGTAAATAGCAAACGCGTCATAAACTGCTCGGTGCTAGAGAGAGACAGAGAGAGAGAGAGAGAGAGAGAAGAGGCAGATATAGTGTGAGAGAGAAACATATATTGGATGCACTGCTTGCTAACTGGTTGTGCCAATGTAAACCGCAGTTACTCCCACTCAACCCCCCCTCAACCCACTGCAGTTGCTCAATAATTTGCCAAATTACGATTGTTAAGGCGTATATACATATATATATATATTTATATATATATATATATATATATATATTGTTTGTGTTTATTTTGTATAAGTTCGTTCGTTCGTTTGTTTTTTTTTAATGTATTTTTATTATACATATTTATGTGTATCGTGTGCTTGTATTTTGTTTATTGTACACAAATTCTGTGTTTGATTTAAGTAGTTAGTCCAAAATTAGTTAAGCGTATTTTAACATTTTCAACAATTCATTTAATTTCGAGAGAGAGAGAGCGAGTTTGTGGCCATATATATTATGATCATAATGATGATCAGATCAGTAACAGAAGTTAGAAATGAGAAGAAGAATGTTTAATGTACAATTGTCTAATTGTATAGTATTTTTTATTTTTTTTTGTGTTTCTTGATGTTTTTTCTTCTTCTATTTTAGGAGTATTTTACCTCTCAGTATAGTTGTCATTTATGCTCATGCAGTTTGTAGCAAAGCAAAGCTCTCTAAATTTTATATATACTTTTGGTTAGTAAATCTCTCTCGATGGGAGCACAACCTCCTGAGCCGGGCCCAAAAACACACAGACAGACAACAAAAAGAACACACACACACACAAACAACTCCATACATTATGTATTTTATATCATATATAGAGAACAAAACAAGAATTCATTTGTTTTTTGTTTTCTTTTATTTTTTGTCAAGCACATTTTTTTTTCACATTCACCAAAATGTTTTTTTTTTTTTTTGTTTTTTTGATTATTGGGTTTTAACAAAAACTCTTCTAGTCTTTGTCTTTAGATACAAAACAAACTTCGTTGCTTCCTTTAAGCGATCCAAAAATCGTTTCATGATTCATGATACATACATACATACATACAAAAAAGGGGGGCGTCCCCCGCTCCCCTAATTTTCGAAAGTAACAAGAACAAGAAAAACAAAAAACAAAAAAAAAACATAGACTGTACTGAAAACTGAGACGTTTATGCGTAAGCCAATCAAGCGAGTATTTTTGTTAAATCAAGAACAACAACAAAAACAAAAACGAAACCAAGAAAATAAAACAAAAATGTAACAACTAAAAACAAAGCAGAATCAAATAAAAAAACAAAACAAAAACAACTAACTAAATGAGAAAAGACAACATCAAAAGAAAACAACTGAAAACAATTCCAAAATGTTGAACGAAAAGACTTAAATCGCATCGTTGCCATTTACAAACACATTTTTTTACTGTGGCAGCAAAAATTAAATTCAAAATGCTCCATAAGACTATATATATATATATATATAGACCGATACCGATACCGATGAAAACAGCATAAAACCGTCATTTATGTGGAACACACACATATTGTATTTGTGTACTTGCAATAGTCTGGCATGGCATATTACTATATATACAAAAATACATATATATATATATATATACAGCTATATAGTAGTAAATTTTGTATACAACAATACTATATAGTACTATATATATTTTGTATACGGAACAACAACAACAAAAATGACAACAAATTTTGACTGATTGACAATTTTAATTGACCAATAGAGCCTAGCCTAAAGCTATATATATTGATATAGAAATAAGTCACAACAACCACAATAATATTCAAATCAATAAACGATGCATTTATGAGTGCGCTAATACACACACACACAAACACACACACACACACACACAGACAACAAAACAGCTATTTCCAATATTCGCAACTTTTCTATCGATATTAAACTGTTCAACTCTTAATACTTATTATATATGCATACCTATACAAAATCAAAAAAGAACATCATACCCAATATGTATACTACTATATTACATATATATATATATATATACATCTACATATGTAGCATATAGCATGATCTTAAACAAAATGAAAACCCAAATGTATTGAAAGAAATTCGATTATTCCAAGCAACATTCGACTTGATGTTTAGCCATTTGAGACCACTGTGCATGGTGCGGTGTACAGTGGGTCTGCAATGTGTATTGTATTATTTACATTCTTGTTTACACTCGTCGATACACTAACAACCAACAAGCAAACAATAACTATAATAATTATTATTATATATATTAATCGCTCTCGATATATTTATATACATACATATATATTTTGTATACTTACATAGTGCATAGTGCTGATGCTGGATACTGATTAGCCATATACACATACAACATACATAACATATTTACAAAACAGGTATACATTTCTTTATATATATATATATACATATATATATATATATCAAGAAAGTGCGAATGATTTAGAACGTACGTTTAGCAATGCAAAACGAGCTGATGAAAGCCAGCGAAATGATAGAAACCGATAAAGCAAGAAAAAATAAAAGAAAAGAAAAGTAAACAGGAAAGAGGAAATAAAAACAAAAAGAGATGGCATACACATTATACAATTTATTTTACAGTATATCCCGATATCAATACTCTAGCTCTAAGTAACAAATAAAATATAAAAATAAAACAAATATATTTATATACTTAATTAAATAATAATAAAAACAAACATACAAAAAAAAAAAACAATACAAAATGATGATGAAAATCGTCCTATAAAAATGTGGGGCGATTTTTTGATGATTGTAATTGTAAAGTGGTTCAATTGTTATGCAAAATGGGTGGTGAATGTGGAAGGGTGTGTTTTCTGAAGGGGGTGTTTGCCTAGACAACGCTGTGACAGAGTTGCCTTGGCTTCGAAATCGAACAAACAAACTTGTGCAATATGTTTATACTGCTCAGTCTATGCTCGAGCTGAAACCAACCCAGTGAGTTGGGTGCAGTGCATCGTTTGGGTTTAGATTGTTGTTATGGTGTTCCACGATGAAATTCCTGCTGAAAAAATGTCTGCGCAAGAAGGCGCCCGAGATGAAGCCAGGCGCCATACTGGACGCTGTCATCTCCCAATCCTCGGCGACCGCATGCAAATGCTTGCTCTATAAACTGGCCGACTATAAACGAGGTAAGCCACCAATTCCCATTCCCTCTACATCACCAATCCTTAACTAAGTATAAACTATGGAATAAGAATAAACGCCCTACAAAATATACAGATTTTTTTAGGATTCCAAATAATTAGAAAGACTTTCCCTAAGCCGACTATCCCAAAATTAGGGAGACTTTCGTTTATTTATTATAAATATTGTCTATGATTAAGAAAAACAATTCCAAAGACTGGAAATGTAAGCAAAAATGTTTGAGAGGATATTATAATTTTGTCGTGTTGCTTGTAATGCATAAAAGTCGTCTCCGATTCCATCAAATATATGCATATATTCATGATCAGCATCATATATATGTATATCGATAACAATCGGTCGACAGTTCTTGGATGAACAACAAATGCTATCCGGAATAAACTTTTTAGTTCGGCATATTAAAAGGTTGCTCACATTTGGACATAAAATGATCAAGATCAAACTATTATATAGGATACTATTGATGATTTTTAGATATATGTATGTATACTTATCCAACTTATGTTTATATATGATATTGTTTTGAATTACTTTTTAGCTGTATGCATTTTCAGATCCTATGTTTCCTTTTGACATCTGAGTTCGCATTTCCATCTGATGAATTTTGAATAAGATTTGAAAAATGAGGTTAACAAATATCTGCAGCTTTAGCTTTATAGGCTTGACTATTAGCTGTGCATTTTGGAAAAATATGTTTTGTTTGGTTTTTACAGGTGGTGATCTGATCGATGCGATCAATACGGGTGGCCTGATTGCCGTGGAGCAATTGATCCGGGAACAGTTTGGCGTCTTCATGTACAACGATGGCAAGGGTCAGATAATCAATCGGGCGGAGTTTCTGCGCTGGAAATATCGTGATCATACGGAGGTGACCATACCGATTGAGGCATCGCTATCGATACACGATCCGTTGGGCAAATGGGAGGATCACAAGGCCTGCTGGCAGATGCAATATCGTGGCGCACTCGGCGAGAGTCTGCTCCACGTGCTCATCATTTGTGACTCGAAAATCCATACGAAATTGGCCCGCGTCCTGCTGCGCGTTTTTCCCAATCTCGCGCTAGACGTCATGGAGGGTGAAGAGTATTTGGGCGCCAGTGCACTGCATCTGTCCATTGCGTATAGCAATAATGAGCTTGTCGCCGATCTAATCGAAGCTGGGGCCGATATCAATCAGCGGGCGATTGGCAGTTTCTTTTTGCCGCGCGATCAGCAACGCATGAATCCGGCGAAGAGCACCGATTACGAGGGATTGGCCTACATGGGTGAGTATCCATTGGCCTGGGCAGCCTGCTGTGCCAATGAGAGCGTCTATAATTTGCTCGTCGATTGTGGTGCCGATCCGGATGCACAGGATTCGTTTGGCAACATGATACTCCATATGGTTGTCGTCTGCGACAAACTGGACATGTTCGGCTATGCGCTGCGCCATCCAAAGACGCCGGCCAAAAACGGCATTGTCAACCAGACGGGTCTGACACCGCTCACCCTTGCCTGTAAGCTGGGCCGTGCCGAAGTCTTTCGCGAAATGTTGGAGCTGTCCGCTCGCGAATTCTGGCGCTACAGCAACATCACCTGCTCCGGCTATCCATTGAATGCCCTGGACACGCTACTACCAGACGGACGCACCAGTGAGTATACTAAATATTATTATTATCCCTGCAAATTGCTCGATCTTCAAGCCGATCCATTTGATTTTTATACTCTGTTTCCGATGGCACAAGCAAGAGTATATTGGCTTTGTTCAAATACCATCTGTGCAGTGCTGTCTTGCCTTGAAGCTTGGAACATATACTGGTCTCTGCCCGCGTCAGAACAAGTTTTAATATTTTGGCTGCTACGTCTTTTGCCTAATCATAGTAGTGAATCCATAAATCTGCGTAACTCCTACAATTTCAAAGCTACAGTCACCAATCGTGGTTGGTTGTCTTTTCGGCTTTTCGTCCTTTAAACATATCTTTCCCAGATTTTGAGTTAGAAATGCATCTTTCAAGTAACATCCTCTTAAAAGCAGAACAACATTTTTGGACCTTGCCCCTAGATTATTAGGAACCTCCTTCAAAGATTGGTATCTGTTGGCTACCCAACTCATCCTGTTATTTCACTCTCTTGGTGTTATTGTAGACTGGAATTCGGCGCTGTTCATCATCTTGAATGGAACAAAGCCGGAGCACTTGGACATGTTGGATGGTGGCATTATACAGCGTCTGCTCGAGGAGAAATGGAAAACATTTGCCCAGAATCAGTTTCTGAAGCGTCTGCTCATCTTGTCTACGCATTTGCTTTGCCTATCCGTATCCGTTTATCTGCGTCCCGTACACGATGGCGAGGACAATGGCGAGGACAATGGCGATGGACCAGCGACAGTTGCGCTCCGGGAACTGGATGCCAATGGTGATGGCGAGTCAGATGGCGATGCGGATGCGGATGCGAATGGAGATGATTACAATGCTCAGACTGTGGCGCGATATTGTGCCGAACTGGCGACCATCGCTGGTGTGCTGAGCTATGTCGTCTTCCAACAGGGTGACGAGATCAAGAATCAAGGCCTATCCGCCTTTCTCAAGCAGCTAGTAAGTATCAATCACTAAACTATATGCATATATGTACATTGCTATAACTTTGTCAAAAAAGCAGAGGCTTTCGATCAATCCTGCATTTAAAGTTGGAAATGTGACTCTGGCTAAAAATGCATGAGGGGGTTAAAGGGGGTTTCCCATTGCCATAACTTAGTCAAAACTGATTCTTGTTCATTAATTGACCTCTGGATCAATACGGCATTTCAAGTTGGATTCTTATTTTAAAATTAATCCTTCTGAATGTGGTTTTCCCAAGGGTTTCAAAACTTCCTACAGCCATAACTACGTCGAAACTCATCCGATTTAAATAAAAAACCAAGGTTTCTTGACTATGATTTGATTCTATATGCATACTGCATTTAAGCTTGATAACTTGTTTGTTTGACTTTGATTTGGCGCTCAGTCGCACGCTCCAGCGAAGGCAATCTTTTTGTTTTCCAACCTGCTCATCCTGGCCTGTATACCATTTCGATTGGTTGGCGATACGGACACCGAGGAGGCCATATTAATATTTGCTGTGCCCGGCAGTTGGTTTCTGCTCATGTTTTTTGCCGGGTAAGCCTCAAAATACAGAAGTGTCTCGCCCAGTTGATGATGCCAATTCACCATTCCTACGCAGAGCGATACGTTTGACGGGGCCATTTGTGACAATGATATATTCGATGATTACGGGTGATATGTTCACCTTTGGCATCATCTACGCAATTGTCCTGTGCGGCTTCTCGCAGGCCTTCTACTTCCTCTACAAGGGACATCCGCAAGTGCAGTCGACCATGTTCAATACCTATACCAGCACCTGGATGGCCCTCTTCCAAACCACACTGGGCGATTATAATGTGAGTATATGAAAAAAAATCTCCTCAAATTTGATGAATGAAGATATAATTAAAAAAAAAAAAAGCATAAGTCATAATCATATATTGCTTACAGTATCCCGATCTGAATCAGACAACCTATCCGAACCTATCGAAAACGGTGTTTGTCATATTCATGATATTTGTGCCGATCCTGTTGCTGAACATGTTGATTGCCATGATGGGCAACACGTATGTGACCGTTATCGAGCAGTCGGAGAAGGAGTGGATGAAACAATGGGCCAAAATTGTTGTCACATTGGAGCGTGCCGTTCCACAAGCGGACGCCAAGGGCTATCTGGAGGCATACTCTATACCCCTGGGACCCGCCGACGATACCGGCTTCGAGGTACGTGGCGTGATGGTCATCAAGAGCAAGAGCAAAACGAGGGCCAAGCAGCGCAAGGGCGCCGTCTCCAACTGGAAGGTAAATCCTCATTCTGCACGACGAGAAGAATATATATATAAATGTATAGGATTATATTTATTATATATGCATTTGATTATATTTTTCTGTAGCGAGTTGGACGCGTTACGTTGACGGCTCTAAAGAAACGTGGCATGACCGGGGAGGAGATGCGGCGCTTGATGTGGGGACGCGCCTCCATCTCGAGTCCGGTTAAGGTGGCCAAGCAGAAGCTGAAGGATCCGTATAATCTGCACACCGAATCCGATTTTACCAATGCCATGGATATGCTCACCTTTGCCAACAATCCGGCGTCAAGCAATGGCGTCCCATTGCGTACGACGACAGCAGGAACACCAGGCGGAACAGCTGTCGGAACAGGCGCAGGAGTAGGCGCAGCAACAGGCGTAACAGTTGCTGCCATTGTGCCAGATCCGTTTCGTGAGCTAATACTGATGTCGGATCAGCGGCCGGAGACGCATGATCCGCACTACTTTGCCGGACTGCAGCAGCTGGCGAATAAGGCATTCGATCTGGTCGAGCAAACGTTGAAGACACAGCCACAGCTAACCAAGAAGCTGCCCGAAGCAACTCCTATTCCGGTTGCAGCCCCGAAGACGCCAGCTGCAGCTGCTCCCCCATCGCCTGCTTTGCCAATGGCCATGACCACACTTTTCCAGGATCCCAAGGATGTGGTCGATCCCAAGAAGCTGGAGGAGTTCATGAACATGCTGGCCGAAGTGGAGACGGAGGAGAGCGACAGTGGTGGCCCCATTTTGGGCAAACTATCACTGGCGAAGCGCACCCACAACGCCCTCTCCAAGGCGGACATCAAGCGGACGAACAACTTCGATGGCAACCAGGTCATGTCATCCGTCTGGGGTCAACAATTGCCCGATTTGGACTTGGTAAGTAAGCTTCAAATGGCTTAAAAACCGCGAAAACATCATCATCCCTGATGATCATTATTCTCTATTGCAGGGTTTTAATTTCGATGAGGAGGCGGTTGCGGAGGAGGTGCTGACCATTGAGCAGGAGGCCGAAGTGGAGACCGAGGATGGCAACGGATGTGGTGGACAGGACAGCGATGATTTGCCAACTGCCGAGCAGGTGCATGCCACAATGCAACAGTTCCATTTGCGCAAATGCCAGCCCACACAGGATGAGGCAGCTCGTCGCGCTAAAAGCGCCAGGATTCGACGCAAAAACAAGTGAGCTGAGTGCTGACAGCGAGTCAGTGAAGTTCTTGGAATCTCTCAATTTTTTGGTGCTAGCTCAACTTCAAATTGATTATATTCGCTTTCCACATTCCACTTGGCAGAGTTTCCCCGGAGGAGAGCGATGCGGAGCTGGAGATGAAGCGACAGCAGACAACACGGGGACGTTCAGCACATGCGAGGAAAGCGGGATCGCCACCCGATCCCTTGGAGCCATGGAGTACGAGGGAGCTGCAGGACATAAATAAGATATTGGCCAGCAAGAAATGAGCAACATGAATTTTACTTGTTATTTGTTTTTGTTCTTGTTTCTTTTTACATTTTTGGGTTTGCTTAATTTAACTAAATACACATGATCTTCGGTACGAGCAGCAAAGCTTATGCTATATAGATACCCATGAGAGAGGGAGAGAGAGAGAAACAGAGAGAGTGAGAAAAAGAGAGAGAGAGAGAGAGAGAAAGAGGTGTGCTAGTGAAGTTGGCAAACATTTTGCAGAACTTTGTTCTTCGCAGCTGCAGCGTAAATTGAAATCTAATTTAATTGTATTCCTGCAAATTTTACTTCATTAAATACCAATTTTGAACGTCACACATACAATTAAATAATTAAAAATACAGAGGCATATAGTACACATATGTATATGGATCTTATATTTTATTTTTATTTTTCTTTGTGGGTGGTAATTTTCTATTGTTTATGTTAATTGTTAAAAGTTGGATGTGAAACCTGCAGCTCAGTATGCAAATATCAGGGAATGCTAATCGAGGATGGTTTAAAAAACATTTCTTGAATTTCCGATATGATATGTACAATAAGCAAGGAAACCATACAATTACAAAAATACCTATTTACAGCGACCGCCCAGCAACTAGAACCTGTTTTCCTGTGTGTTTTCAGAGGGTATTCTAATTAAATATTTAAATAGTGTAAACAAAACCAGTTCCGAAAACCAAATTGCACTAAAAATGAAAGAAACTCGAACCGAGTGTTCCGTTGAAAGCTATATGAGCTGAAATATAGTGGTCCAATGTGGATGTGATGCTGAAGTTTTATTAGGAGCATAATCATACGCAAAGAGAGAGACTTCAGTTCAGATAGCCTGGTTGCTTCTATAGCAGCTATATGATATATGGTAATCCGACCCGGCCGACTCCGACGCATGTACTGCCTGCAGCGTAAGGACGGATACGTGCCAAGTTTCATCAATATAGCTTTCAAACTGACTGAGTTCATATATAGTTAAATGGATAGATGAACAGACGGACTCAGCTCGAGATGCCGTTCAAGAATACTTATACTTCACGTCAAAATTCGAATACCATCTGCACTGGTATCAAAATACTAAGTGCTCAAATTGTGTTTGTTTTACTTAAATACAAAAATGTAAATTCTGAAAAATATACAAAAAATTGTGTACAACATTTATGAGACAATTGCATGCAGTCAACAACAATTACACAAGACGAAACGATAAAGGTACACAAAATGACTTTGTTTGCACTATTCAATATCGAGCGATCACTGTACAAGCATACAGATTACAGATACAATTCGATGCTGCTTTTGTATTGTTTTGAGCATTCTCTGAGTCGCTGCACTAATTCGAGTACAAATGTTTTTGGCCGTTAAATGTGGCTTATGTGTTGCTGCTATTATTTATATTATACAATTGACTTAGACGACTAAATGGGTTAACTAAATTAAATCTGCAATAATATACAATTAGTACGAGCTGAATGGCAGCTAAAGTGCCAAAAAAATAAAAACAATAAACCAAATTGCCTCCCGATGCTATTATCGATATGATTGCTAAATGGCCAAATTGTTGTTGTTGTTGGACTTAAATTAAATATTACGACTAAACACTTTTCAACTTACAATTACTAGATGTATGCTTATGCTTAGATGTGTGTGTGTGTGTGTGTATTTTCATATCGTTTGCAATTTCGCCTCTAGCTTATTGTGGTTTTTAAGATTGTGGATTTTACCGGAAGCTGCGATCGCTGCCTAATGTTGCAATACCCTGCGATTGTTGTTGTTGAGCCTGCGTCGCAACTTGGGCGTTCGACGCCGTATTTATAAATATGGATGATGTGTTGCTGTTGTTTCCGTTGTTACTGTTGTTGCTGCTGCTGCTGCTGCTGATTGTGTTGTTGGCATTGCTGCCATTTGGATTTGGGTTGGTGGTTATGTGTATATGCTGATGATGATGATGTTGCTGCTGCTGCTGCTGCTGCTGTTGATGCTGCTGTTGCTGCTGCTGATGTTGTTGTTGGTGCAGTTGCATCTGCTGCTGTGTCACAGTTGTTGCATTTGTTGGCGTGCCGCCCAATTGCAATATCTGCTGTGCGGTTAACAATTGCGTTGGGATAATCACTTGCTGCTGTTGCTGCTGCTGTTGCGCAGCTGCTGCCGCTGCTGCTGCCGCCGCTTGCACTGCAGCAACTTGCTGCTGCTGCTGTTGTTGCTGCTGTTGCATCTGCAGACGCAGCAAATGCAACTGATTCGCATTTATCGCAATCTGCAATCAAATATTTCATTTTTGAATTAGTACAAAATTGTTATAAATATTATTATGCTCTAAGCCGATATAAAATAATACAAAACAAAAATGGAGCAGCACAAACAAAACAATTAAATTAAGTATTAGCCACGCCGATCTCAGAGACTATAGTCAGACCTAGTAGAGAGAAAAGGGCAGTTCCAAGTTAATGTTCCCGATGGCTCCCCAGCTAAAAGAGAAGCTCGGCCTATGAATGAAATCTGTTCGAAAGTCTCTCACCAAGGCAGGTGAAGAAAGTCGGATTTTCTGCTTAGCATGAGATCCTTGTTTCATGCCAGCCTGATAAAATACACCTCTAACGGTCGATCGCAGCGTGTTGGGCGAGTCTGGATTATCATCTGGTCCAATAAACAATCGGGTTTTAGCTTTCACTTTCTGGCATTTCTCTAACAGTCTAACAGATCGCATTGAATTGTTCGAGTAAAGATTACCATTCAGCTGTCTGTCATAGTCCAAGAACAATTACTTACGGGCACATTGGTCAGCTCGCCGTTAGGTGTGACAACCTGCTGGATCAGTTGGATTTGCTGCTGCTGCTGTTGTTGTTGCTGCTGCTGCTGTTGTTGTTGTTGCTGATGTTGCTGTGCCAGATTCTGAAGCAGCGCCGTTTGCTGCTGTTGGGCTGTTGTCGGCGCCGGCGTCGCTGTCAACTGGCCATTGGGTCCAGCGGTGAGGATTAGCTGCTGTGTCGGCTGCTGTGCAACAATATTTAAACCGAGCTGTTGCTGTTGCTGATGTTGTTGCTGCTGATGTTGATGGATTTGCTGCACTAGCTGAGTGGGCTGTTGGTTAGGCAGGGCAATAAAATATTGCAATTGCTGGCCACCGGCTCCCTGCTGTATGATCTGCAATTGCTGCGGCTGATGATGCTGCTGTTGGGCGGTGAGCTGCTGCAGCTGCTGGTGATTACTACTAGCGACTTGGGCTGCCGCAAACAGATCCGGTGTGACGGTGCCAAAGCCGAGCACCTCGGCCGTTGCCGCATCCAGCTTGAGGCCAGTTGCAGCAGCGGCGGCCGCAGCAGCAGCAGCAGGTACATTGGCGCCAGCTAATAGATTGTTCGTTGTAAAATTGACGCTGGACATGTTGTTGATGTTGTTGCTAATGTTGTTGATGTTGTTCAGGTTGGTATTGCTAACAACAGCAGTTGCTGTCGGCACAGCAACAGCATTGCCAACAGCAGCACCAGCATTAGCAGGAGCAGCAGCATTCGACGAGGATGTTGTTGTCACACCTGAGCTGGATGGCTCTTTGGTTTTCTGCGTTGATGATGTCGACGGTTTGATCTCCTCGCGCGGCACAATATCGATAAGGAAGTCAAATTGATCATAGTTGGCAATGGCCTGAGCAATATCCGAACGCTGCAACGTGCGACGACGACTCTCCTCGGTGTGGACCCAGGCACGCATCGTCAGCTCCTGGATGAAATATTCGCAGGCTTTCGCAAACAGCAGCGGCGCCTCGCCAGCTATCATTTTGGCATTCTCGTCCAGTTTCATGATCTTCTTGATGCGCGCCAGAGGTAATACCTGATGTTTGGCATCCACCTGACCAATCCCGTTCACCTCGCCCAATATGTTTGGCCAAAAGTTGTCAATGGTCGGCGGCGGTTTGCGTGCCACTTGAACTCTGGTCGCTTTGGTTGCCTTCTCCTTGGGCGCCGATGCCGCCGTCGCCACTGTTGACATGGACGTCACACTTATGCCCGTATAGATGGCACTAGAGTTGCTGCTGCCACTCCCACTGCTAGTGTTGTTGCCGCTGTTGTTGCTGTTGCTGCTGTTTGTCAACGAGTGCATTGCATTGGGCATTGCCAGCTGCTGTGTGGTGACAATAACGGCATTTGGCCGACGCAGCGACGGCGTTGCTCCAGCTCCCGTCGGCTTGGCCAGGGGATCGCTGAGCTCCATTTTGATTGGCGTTACGGTTATTGTGTTGTCAAACATCGTTGTTGCATTGCTGCAAATAGAACATAACACACAAATATTATGCATACACATAAACATATATACACACACACACGCACACATACATGCATACACAAATTGTACACACTGCACAAAATTTGTGCTCGCGACTTACCTATTTGGCGCCTTATTTGTGCTGCCATTGTTGGTGGCGTACATGGCCATGGGAGCTCTGGTGTGTCTCGCTTGCCCAGCCACGATTGTTAATCGTTTCAGCACAGGCACAGCCCACAGAAAGTGTCTTTAATTTCACTTTAAAAAGGAAGTACGTATCTCTGGTAAATTTCGCAAATGCGTAATGCATACACAATGCGTCAGAGATGGCAACTGGGGTTGCAAAACAATCGATATGGTCACAGCGATAAGCAGCGGCAATAATGGACCTGCCCACTTGCTCATTATACGCCTGTTTACAGATCGAAAATATTATCGATGCTGAACGACTCCATATACACCACTGTTTACAGATCGAAAAAAAAGTTATCGATAATGAAAAGGTCGCCAAATTTTTCACTGTTAACCTGTATGAATTTTGTGAACAGCTATACGACGGCGCCAAAATAGTGAATTTGACATATTTTTTATATATATAATTATATTTTGTGATAAACAAAAAAAAAAATGAAGTCACTTTAATCGTGAAGAAAAACAAGGGTTTATTGAGGTGACGAAACTAATATGGGGCCTAACCCATAAGAAACTGGGAGTTTGGCATTTCTGATTGATAAGTTCAACTATTCAAATTTTGTAAACAAACCAAAAGTGTGAGAGTATACTCTTAATTTAGAAATACCATTTAGTATTTTCGGATTTTTTTAGGTAATTCTCTCGCTTAGATTCTTCGATCTCAAACTGTCCTTATATTTGTAGCTATCGATACTTCTAGTGAGCATCGATAACAATGCATGTGCCGAGCACACTCGCCCGACAAACCAATTGTTGATAGTTTATTATATGCAATAATTCCAAGCCCGGAGCTCATTAATTAAATGGTGACCAACAAAAAGGAGGACGAAGCGCTGTCCACAACGTCAGCGGTAACGGGACTGCCTCAGAAACGATTCTATCGCCAACGGGCCCACTCCAATCCCATTGCGGATCACAGTTTCGATTAGTGAGCAGCTATTTTATCAATAATGCAAGCATATAATGCATTTCCTTACACAGTCCCGCCCGGCCAGAAGATGTGGACTGGCGCTCACTGTATCCGAGCATCAACGACGAGCAGCAAGTCGAATTCGCAGACATTGGCTGCGGCTACGGCGGCTTTCTGGTCACCCTCGGTGAAATGTATCCCAAAAAGCTATCCATCGGCATGGAAATACGCGTCAAGGTGTCCGACTATGTCGTCGATCGAATTGCGGCTTTAAGATTGAAGAATTCAGAGACAGCAGCCTATCAGAATATCGCCTGCATTCGCACCAATGCAATGAAATATTTACCCAACTATTTCCGTAAGAGTCAGCTAGAGAAAATGTTCTTTCTGTATCCCGATCCGCATTTCAAGCGAGCCAAGCACAAGTGGCGCATCATCAACCAGGCCCTGCTCTCCGAATATGCCTATGTGCTGCGCACGGGGGTAAGTTACTAGACCCAATCGGATTTCAAATACCCAATCTGTTCCTCTCTCTTGCCGTAGGGTCTCGTATATACAATGACGGATGTGGAGGATCTCCATAAGTGGATTGTCTCTCACATGACGCAGCATCCATTGTACGAACGACTCAGCGACGAAGCAACTGTGAGGAAACTAACTCTAGCATGCAACACGGAAAGGGGCACTCTCATTTCGAATCTAATAAGTGATAACGTTGCAGTCGAATAAGCTCTCAATTTTGCCATACAAATTTGCCTTTAAGATTCTTGCATGGAATTGCTCTCATATCTCTGACTAGTATAACATGTATATTTCTTATCAGATCTTTATGAAGTTTGTTCAGGTGATCAATAATCAAAATAATACATATATTTTGGAAGATGTTAAAAATACATCAAATATAGTTTAAAAAACTATGAACATTTTATTTAAATACAAGTAATCAATACTGAAGATAAGTAAACTTTAAAACGTAGCATAGCTTAACACTTATTAACAAACAAACTTAAAGTCCTTTAATTTATTAATTGTATTAAATTATTATTTAAGTCCATCACTATAACGTAAAAACTAGGTATAATGGCTGGTTATATTTTACGACTACTTTTAGTATTTGCAACATAATAGTATTTTCAAACATTCCCAAACATTTAGTGTTTTGTGTAGGTCTCGATTTGATCACCATAATATGAGTCATCATCTTATGAAATGCTAGGAAAGTCGCCCTACGCAACTGTCTATTCCAAATTTGTAGTCTCTAGCTCTAAAGTCCTGGGGGAAATGTAGCCAAACTAGAAAGTGTATTACGGGTTTGCCGTAGTTTTTCCGTAGAGAACACTAATATTTGAAAATTGAACATAAATAACCAAATACCTATGCAATCTTTATTGAATTTTCATATTTCATACTTATAATATGAAGAAGTCTGTAAACAAATCTAATTGCTTTGTGTTTTTTATTTGCAGAAAGCGGATCCGATTACACCGAAGTTGTACCAGAGCAGCGAGGAAGGCGCCAAGGTGGTGCGCAATAAGGGAGATCATTTCTTGGCTATATTCCGCCGCATCTAGGGCGGTGTAACATACAGATATATGAAAGCGTATATTTCCGTGACAAATATATACACGTACATATTGAATTTATGATTGGGCAATGACTTAGATGTTGGATATACCTTAGACTTGGACTGATTGTCTGATTAGATGTTAGATGTAAGCATTGCGATGTCCGATGCCCTCGCAGCTGAGCAGAATCCGTCCGGATGTGTCGTAATCAATGTTAAATTTGACGCCAGTCATCAGTTCGGCCACATAGATGGCGGTACGTGTGTGCTTGGTGAGTGGTCCGGTGCGGATGCGTGAAATGCCGCTGCCCAATGCCATATAGATGATGAGCTGATCCTGCATGTGGTCGTCAACGCACAGTTCGTTCTTGATGTAACCAGACAGTTCACAGGCCGCATTCAGTCCAATCAAATGTCCCTTTATGATCTTCTGGCCTACAGTGCCGGCGCCAAGAACACAGCCGGTTGTGGTTCGGGCCGTTATATGAATGCCACCACCATTGTGACGCTGTTTAGCCGTGTCATACTTGATCACGTCGATCGTGCAATCGTAATTCGTCCAGAGACGATGTATTTCCCGTTTGGCCGCATGCTGCATATCGTCGCCAACACTTTTCGGCAGCCGGCCGGAATAATATGCGATGCCCTCAAATCCACTGAAGCGACCAAAATCAATGAGCTCGGCCGCTTTCAACGAGCGCAATGGTTCCACTGCCAGCTCACAGCGACCATCGCCACGCGGATAGAAGCCATGCTTGAGTACCTTGAGATCGAAACAAATCCCGAAACGTTTCAGATTCGGTTGCAGCACCTGTTGCATATATTCCACTTGCGGTGAAAATGACACATTTGTCCCCCCACCGGCCGTGGTGCGTGAGGGTTTATCGGCATATAGGAGGGCTGGCATAATCATCTGATAGACCAGCGTAATGCTGGCAGCCGTCCCAGTTTCCACTTTAAATGAACCACCAGAAATGGTGGTGGGCATAAACTGCAGTTCTGTGGAACGCAATTGATTCCCAGTCACATTGGCATTGGTAATATCGCGCAACAGATTAACGCCGTGCAGATGCTGATGCGAGAGACCCGGCTGCGGCCGATTGGCACGTATCTTAACCACACGCACCGGACGCTTCAAAATTGCGCTCAGACTGAGTGCATTGCGCAGTGCTTGACCACCACCCTCCAAGAAGGAGCCGTCGATTTCGACAACACTGTTATTCATGGCCAGTTTGTCTACAATCCACACACACACACACGCGTTATTAATTGAGTAAATTTATATTTATGTTACTTTTTCTTACATACCTTTTTGTCAACAATTCCTTATTTAATTAATGTTTTGCTTTGAGATCAAAATTTGTAATTCAAATGTGACTTGTGAAATACAATCAGAGACGGGCAGCAATCGTTTTATTTTTATCGATTTGACACTTAAAAAAAAAAACAAGTTGGCAGCACTGCGGAGAGAACCCAAACACGGAAATTTATCTTTGTGTTGCCAATACTTGACTTACAATTGGCATTTGATAGTTTCTGTTTCTTGTTTCTTTTTCGGCTGTTGACATTATGTCGAATATTTACTTATTGCCGGTTGCCACCTTTCTCATCTTTCAGGTGACATTCCTGGGCACGTAAGTCCTTAAAAAGAAAACAAAGAAAAGAAAACGCAGTTGTTATTGTTTTGTTTTTTTGTTTTTGTAACTTTTCCATATTTTGCGGCGTATTTACAGCTATATTGTGGCCGTGCTGGAGGGACATGTGGTGCCCACAGTGCCGTACATAAGCGATGCGGCCGCCTATTCACCGGAAAGCTGCATTTTCGGTCAGCTTATTAACATTGGCAGCGTTCTCTGTAAGTTGCAAGCCTCATTTCGTCCAGAATCCGATCAAAGCTCAAATATTAGAGCGTGAGTCATAAACAGATTGATAATTATCCACAGCACGGCACTGTCATATTGCCCTGTACTCATTGCGAGCGGGGTATATTGGCTAATGCCAACTAATACTGATATGTATATATATTTTTATATAAGTACTCAGTTGAAATATTTATATATAACAAACCAAAAAAAAATGTTAGGATTGGAGCAGCATTTCATTCATGTCTGCTCCAGGGTATCTGTTGGTCCCACACCATAGACACTTGTCATTGTTCTATTTATCTCTCTATTTCTCTCTCTTACTAGTGGGAATCACAATTTATGTGCGATATCGTCATGTGTTGCAATTGTACGAACATCATCCGGACCTAGATGCCGCTGTGCTACGCCACAATCGGCTGGCACTCTGGTTCGGCATGTTTTCCTGCTTGGGGATCAGTTTTGTGGGCAACTTCCAGGAGACGAATGTGCGTATTGTGCACTTCATTGGTGCGTTCTGTTGCTTTGGCTGTGGCACCCTATACTTTTGGATGCAGGCTCTCATTACGTACATGGTATACCCGATGGCTGGCACCAGAATCATCGCGCACATTCGTCTGACGATGGCCGTCTGCTGCACAATATTGTTCATAATGCTGGCCGTGACGGGCGTCATGTCCCACATTCTTTTCAATGGCCAAAATCCTCGAAAGTGGTAAGTGAATCATGTTTTCTTTGACATTGTACATACATCAATTGATTTTCTCTATTTTGCAGGTATCCGTCCGACGGTGGTTGGTATTATCATGTGGTTAGCACCATCTCGGAATGGATTATTGCGACAATCTTTAGCTTCTTCATACTGAGCTTTACGCCCGAGTTTCGGGACATTTCGCTGCACCATCCGCAAATCTCGCTGCTCTCCTACACTATGACAGTGTAGATATGTATTGTGCTGAATGAGCTGCTATGTCGATATATTCCTTACGCAGAGCTGAGATCAGGGGGAGCTCATCTTCAAAATGATGCGCCAAGGATATGAGAGCTAATGCTCCTGCTCCTGCTCTTGATCTTGATCCTGATATAAATTATTGCCTAAGTACCAATATGTAGATCGTTTATTAAATACGTCAAACACAGACCGTTTATGGTCAAAAATGCGATCCAACTCCTGCTTATTTGGTGCGATTCACAATAACTTATAAATAAACCTGCACTCGAGTTGATATCAATTCCAAAATTGGCAAATATTCAAATAAATGTCGCAACAATTTTTAAGTGATTTATTTAGCCAAACAACGTCAGACATCGATTTGCATGGAAAACACCAACACAATAAAGCTCTGGATTATAATCTTAATCAACTTAATTTCGAGGTTTTCAAAATTGTATATTGAAAATTGTTGAAAAAACATGGATATTACATACATCGGAGGACTTAAATCAATCATAAAGGCTGCCAGAAATAAGATTTAACGCCTGCCACATGCCCTGTCAGAGAGACGTTGCAATGCTGCTGCCAGAGGCAATTGGCGCATGCGTAAACACAGCTGTAGTCACAATAATAGAACCCATGCACACCTATGTTTTGGGCAATGTTTAAAATGCTCAAAATATAGTTGAAAAATTATGAATATTTTATTTAAACACAAGCTGAAGATAAGTAAAGATTAACATTTGGTATAGCTATTCAATTTATTACCAAAAATAAAATTAAGCTGTTTAAATTTAATAGTTTTGATATATTTTTTATTAAGCTTTATTATATATTTTTCTATTATCCGGCGGGAATTATTTACAACAAAAATTGCTTAAATGTTTGGCAGGAAAACTAATTAAAAAAAAAAAGAATTTTCCGGAATAAATACGAAAATTTGACTTTTTCCATTGGACCGTTCCCGCTTTCCCCTATAACGACACCCAAAATCGCCTGTACGACGAAGATGCCGAAAAAGTCACTTCCTTTCACACCAATAGCGGCAGATTGGAAAAAGCCAATCCGCGACTATTTCTACTATTTCAACGGTGGCCGACAATAGCCTGGCAGCAAATGCAATGATCTATGCAACCACGAGAAATCTGTGGTTTTCCTTAATGAAATATTTCGACTGATTACGTACAATGCAGCCAGTTGTGACACCTACACGGATGCCATTAGTAAGCAGTGCAGCCGCGATTACGAAACTTTTCGCTTGGATGACGAAGATGAGGCCGAAGGCTAAAATGGCTTAAAGTTCAGCGTGCATTTTTATAATTTATTGGTTGCAGATAACTGATTTCAAATTTCTATCCTACCAAAAAATTGCCAAATTGTAAACATAAAATAAATATACAAATTGTCGGAAAAACAATATTACAATTATCAAACCGGGTATTAATATAAGATATTATTTTTATTGTATTCTAAAATAAAAATTAATATGCGCCATTTATGGAATTGTACATTTATTCGATTCAACAATAATTCGATACAATGTTGTATTTGAAGATATAATTTCAGTCTCCCCACTGTATCGAAATCGAAATAAATATATCAATTATTAAAAAAAATATGTATAAAGTGTTGATTATCGTTTCCGATCTCTGGAACGTTCGTTGATGTTATCGCGATGCTTGTGTCCACCTCGGCCACCTCCTACTCCACCTCCTCCTCCACCACCACCACCTCCACCACCACCTCCTCCACTGTTACGGTTTGAGGAGTAGCGAGACTTGCCGGAATTGGAGCCGGAGTTGCGGTATTTATCGTTATCGCTAATGTTGTTGCTACCCGTCGTATTGCTGGAACGATCCTTTTTTATATAGTAATCGGAGCGTTCTCTCGACGATTTCCTGCGCAATGAAATCAAATAGAACATTGAATTTTATCTGTATATAACTATTTATGCTATAAACTGTTTATCTGCTTATCCTAAGTTTTGCATTGTCCGCTCATTCGCATGTACTCAAATATTAATCTCTCAATAGTTCTGTACCCACTCCGTTTTTGACTGCCGAATGCGTCGCGACATTAAACTAATAAAAGTGTGATTCCTGCATATCTTGTTTGTATACGCTGGAAAACTGTGCGCTTAGATCTAACAAATCCAACATAACAAATTAACAAAACAATCAAAAAATTAACGAAACAAATTAACAAAACAATCAAAAACAGAAAACAAGTAAAAACGTTAATGTGTAAGTGATTAATATAATGGTCTAGCTTAATACAAGGTCTAGCTTTTATTGCTATCGATTATGGATTAACCTAAGTGTTTTCCTCTCAGATAAACATGAAGATCAAATTTTCTTCAACCAATCTTGATAAAGTCGACAAAATAATTTGCAAACATATCAAACCCAAATTGCAAAGTTATATCTTTGAAATTGATCAGCGTGATCAAACTTAAAAACGTAAAAATAAAAAAATTGATATTCGCTTGATAAAAATGAAACAAATACAAGAAGCTAAATTTGAAATTTGAACTCTTTAGTTCCCAAAATGAAAATCTCTGAGATCGGACGGACAGTCAAAGAAACAGACGAATGGACAGATTAAATCAACTCCCCATTTTGAACAGATTCAGGGCAAGTATTGGATTGATTAGGTGATTAGTGATTAGTGGGAAAGTAGGATCATGAAAGTGGCATTGGATTTTACCTCTTACGGTGTTTGCTGTGCGGCGAACTGGAGCGCGTCGGGGAGCGCGAATAGTGTCGTGATTTCTTTTTGTGCTTAGGCACCGAACGTGAACGGGAACGCGAGGAGCGACTTCTGTCCCGTTCACGATCACGTTCACGTTCACGCTCCCGATCCCTGTCACGATCCCGATCCCTGTCCCTGTCTCGATCGCGATGCGATTTTTTGCTGCGCTCCCGACTCGCCGATCGGCTGCGCGAATGCGAACGCGGCGTTCGCGACAGCGTTCGTGAACGAGAACGAGAACGGGTGCGGGAGCGTGAATCCTTCTTGGGTGATTTTTCCGCGGGCAGTGGAATGGCACGCTGTATGAAACCGCCCCAGGCATTGTGCGAGCCATTATTCCGATCGACAGTGATGACGGCGGGCGGTGTATTCGCCTCCTTGGTCTTGTTCCTTGCATCAATATAGCGCTTCTTCAGCTCCTCGACAGATGCCTCCAGTTTGTCGACCATCGGTTTGGCACGCGTATACAGCTCCATGATGCGGTAACAGATGTCGGTGATGCTTGCCATCGGCACTCGGAATACGCCAAACCAGGGCGGACTATGTGGCAGCGATATATTCAATTTGCGTGCACTCAAATAGATGCAGGCGCAGGCAATCGCCTCCGGCGTATAACGCATAAAGACGTCCGTACGCAGCGAATCATTCATAAAGTTCCAGGCCATCTGCATCAGTTTCTCGTGCTTCTCGTACTGCAACACCTGCAGATACATCACGATCAGCTTGTGCGGATGCTTCACGTGCACACAGAAGCCCAGTTCATTTAGTACGCGACGCTCCGCCTTAATCACCTGCATCTTCAGGTTTGTATAGTATTGATCCAGCACCATCGATGCGATTTCTCTGCAATGTTAATTAAGAACTAAATGCGAAAATCTTCTGATGCCAATAGATAATTCCAATGGGTAATATATTGATGGGTGTAGCCTGGAGATACCTATCTTTGAAGAAGGTTCCTAGTTAGTTGCCCCCCAAGTTTGTCTATAAAAATGCTGCAGATATACGCTTTCAAGCATTTTGGGGGCAGTATTGGGCGGGACCGAAAAGAAATTGTTGCAGAAGGTAGGAACCTTAATCTGCCTTTCAAAGTTCAGGTAACTTTCGCTCTTAGATTGCGGAAGAGGAGTGTTATTAGCAATATACGGTTAAGATTTTGTCACTTTACCTCTCAGATTGTGAGAGAGATTTACATCATCAGGTATATCGGTTTTGGAATCCGGAATGGGCGTGGCTAGCCAATTTTTTTTTATCGATCTTTAAAGGGAATTACTAGTAACATATTCTCAACACTTTGTGACTGCAGCTTAAGGATTGAGGAATATACAGCCATTTAAGATTTTTACGGGCGATGTTCCTGGGGCGGCAGTTGTGGGCGTGGTCTGAAAATTTATCTGCCGACCAGCAAGCTACTTTCCAAGTTTGATTTTGGTACTTAAAGGCTCTAATGCAAAAATGCGAAGATAAAGTCATTCCGATTTTGGGGTGGGCGCGGCTAATGCCGATCTTTGAAGGACACAGCCAACCAACGAAAATTTGTGACTGTAGCTTTGAAATTGTAGGAGGATAGGCAGTTTGATCGATTTTAATTTATCGATTTTTATCGATTTGGTAGCCTCAATTAGCAATATACTCTTTCTTCTTTGATAACCTTCGATACAGAGTATATAAAAGGTAAAGAAAAAGAAAGAGAGAATATCGAGAGGGAATACTCACTTTTGGGCGCGCACTTGCTTGATATGATGGAAGACATTGATGACGTCTCGGATGCGACGCGGTGCCTCCTCAATTTTGGAGGCAAGGCAAACACAGCTCATGGCCACCGTTTCCATGTTGTGACGCACAAAGCTCTTCGAGTAGAAGAATCGCTGGAAGAGTACCTGGCCGGTGGCCATTGCCACTTGGGGCAGACGTAGCAGAATGCCAGCAGTTTGGATTAGCTCACAGCCAAGAATGCGCAAATCCTTTTCCGTCTCATGATCGAGCCCATCCAAACTGGATGGGGTCACATCGATTTTCTCCTCCGGTATCAAACTGTTCTCCAACGTCAGCACAATCGTATTAAATAGACGTGGATACACTGGCTTAACGGCATCGCCGCCATCTGTCGCTGTGCCAGTGCTGCCATCGTTGTTTACAATGTTACTGCTGCTGCTGCTGTTGTTGTTGTTGCTGCTGCTGCTGCTATTGCTGTTGACATTGATATTGTTGTTGTTAGAGATGTTCACGCTGTTGTTCGAGTGCAGGGCGCTGACCGTGAGTACATTGCCAATTGTTTGCAACGTCGTTACTGTTCCCGTTCCCGTCACCATTCCCGTTCCTGTTCCTGTTCCATTTCCCGTTGCCGTGTTAAGCGTAGTGTGAATGACGCCAGTCGTGGCCACGGCCACAGCTGCCGCTGCACCACGACTGGTCATTTGGCGTTTTGCACTTGCTTCTTTCGAACGAACACAAAAACACAAAAAAAAATGCTTTGTGTAATATGTTATTCTATACGTATAATTTCTGAATACATGTGTGTATAAACGTGAAAAAGTGAGCACTTAAATGTTTGCAAGCAAAAAAACCGAAGCGCAAAAAAAAAAAAATACCAAAATATCATTTTTATGCAGCGACACTTATCGATGTAATTGTTGTTCCCTCGCTTCTCGCGAAAACTATCGAGTTGTGCGGAGTGTACATCTCTAGAACCGCATACAGTTCGAAGTAGATTCCATACGAACGTGTTCGCGTGGCCGCTGCGCGCTGTTGTAAAAGGGAAAGACTATTTTCTAAGTGTTAATATATTAGGAACTTTTGAAAAAAAATACATTTCTTGTGTATCTTGCAATAAATGCTCAAGCACAAATACCGCTAGCAATCGAGTCTAACGTCGACTACTAACGTACATATATATATATATATATATATATACATATATATGTGTATATATTAATCGACAATATATAGAAAAGTGTATTTAAGCAAGAAGAAAAAAAAGTAAAAGAAAGAAAAAAGTGAAGTTGGTGAAAAAAGCCGAGAGCGCCGCACTGCCTACTGAGAAATTGTGCAAAATGAGTGGGGATGTGGCTACAGAAAATGTAAGTAATTTTGCGACACAAATATATTTTATGTAATTTTTCATCTCTGTTGTGTGTCCGTCTGTTTGCAAGTGCATTGACGAAACACGGTGCTAACATGTTAATTTGATATGAAATGCATAAGTTCCGCTGGCAAGTAAAAGTAGTAGCAAAAGCAAAAGCAGTCGTCAGTGCAAGTGGTGATAGACCTGCGCCCAAATCATGCGTCGCAGTCTCATTGCAATAAAAGAGTAAAAGGCCTTTGGTAATTTACGAAAATGGCGACAATGCATGCAAGTAGTAGTAGGCATAGGCAGAGACACGGCAGCGACAGAGGCAGACAAGAGACGGCAGGCCGACAATGTGTATTTAGCACAGTGTGACCGATTATTCGCTGCTCTAAATACTAGCGCGGTATTTTGCGTGCACTTTTGCTGTTGCTTGCTTGCCTTGTTGTTGTTGATTGCTCAAAATGGTTCGTATTTTAATCTTTCTGATTGGCACTCACAATCCAACACAGATCTCTCTCTGTCACTGCAATTATTATATCTGTCGAAAATCGTTCACGTTTTCCTTCATGTATTTAGTAGCAATGATGTTTAGTTTTCGATTATATTTCGTCTGAATTGTGTTGTAGTATTTTTGGAAGTGCGATATTTTATTGATCGTACGAGTTGGTCACACTGCGCAGCCTGCCAAAGTAATCACATGTGTGTACGTACATTTCTAGTCACATACACACATATCTACCTACATACTTATATATGCATATGTACGCAGCAGCAAAAAAAAAAATAATAACAGCCTTGATCCGCTGTTTTTACACCGTTCACACGTTGAAAATTATGCACAACAACAACAGAGAGTAAACGTCGGTCATTACCCCATTCGCTCCCTCCTATTGTCTACAGTTGTCATCATATGTATCTTCTTGCCCATTTGTATATATATATATATATATGTAAAATACATTTCAAATATTGTTAGGGTTGATTTTTCACCACGTGGTGGTGGTCTGGTGTGTGTGTGTGCCTATGTTTCAATTACATATGAAACACACACATATATTCGAATACGTAGCTATTTTGTACAAATCATTGACAATTGACTTGTGCACAGTTGCTACTTAAATGTGTCACACACATACACATGCACGTACGATCACACAGGTAGTCAGTGAAGAATGCTTCATATTGTTTTACAGTTACAACTACATGCACACACTCACACATACACATGCACGCATGCATAAATGTCAATTAGAAATGTGTAAAATTTACATGCATACATACAAGCATATGTCTCTGTATGTGTATGTGTGTGTGTATGTATTTTTTATGATCCATTCTCAAATTAGCTTTACTTGCAGAATTTACACGTGCAAAATGGCGGCACTTGCGAAGTGCAATGGAATGGTGTAATAACTACAAATGGACACCATCACCATCATCATAGCAGCAACAACAGCAGCAGCAGCAGTAAACATAAATCATCCAGCAAGGATAAGCATCGTGATAAGGACAGAGGGGGCGATCACAAAAGCTCCAGTTCCAGTTCCAGCTCAACCCGTGAACATAAAAGTAGCAGTAGTAGTCGGTAAATATTCTCTCTCGCCTCTCTCCTCTCGATTTTCTCTTCATTTTCTTATCTTTAAATTTTGCAGGGATAAGGACAAGGATAAACATAAGAGCAGCAGCAGCTCCTCAAGTGGCAAGCATCGGGATAAGGACCGAAGTTCATCATCATCATCCTCGTCCACTCATCGCGATAAGGACAACAAGCACAAGTCTTCATCATCATCATCGAGCCATCATCACAAGAGCAGTAGCAGCAGCGGCAATCGCTCATCTTCCAAGGATAAGGAGCGTCGTGAGAGCAAGGATCATCGCAGCAGTAGGGACAAGCACAAATCCTCATCATCATCGAGCTCCTCGCGCCACAAAAGCTCCTCCTCATCATCGAAAAGCAAACATTCCAGCTCGAGTTCTCGACATGGAGGCTCCTCCTCAGCAGCAGCAACGAAAGATCCCAGCTACGATGGTGTCTTCGTTAAGCCAGAGCCAGTTGCACAACAGCAGCCACATCCAAATGAACATCATCATCATCAACATCAACAACATGTCGATGATCCACTGCAACTCCAATACCAACAGCAGCAGCAACAATTGCAACTGCAACAACAGCAGCAGGAACAATTGCAACTGCAACAACAGCAGCAGCAACAATTGCAACTGCAACAACATCAGCAGCAGCAACAGCAACAATTGCAACTGCAACTGCAACAGCAACAACTCCAGTTGCAACAACAACTTCAGTTGCAGCAGCAACAACAACAGCAGGCTGCATGTAATGGGTATAAGAATGGCTACGAGGAGCACATCATGGATGTCAAAAAGGAGGAGTCGAGGGAGAACTTTGATTTATCGCAAGCGAGCTCGTGTGATTACTCCTTGTCCCAGTTTCGATCCGACGAGCCTTCGTTTGTTGTTTCCAAGCGGGAGGAGGAGGCCAGTTATGCAGAGGAAGATAGCGCCTTGAACGATGATGATGATGATGACGATGATGGTCGCAATAACAACGATAACGATGATGATGAAGATGTGCCATTGGCAATGCGTAAGCGGAAACAGGAACCGGCCGATGAATCGATGCATGGCTTAGATGACGACGATGATGATGACATTCCCTTGCTGGCGCGTAAAAAGATCAAGAAGGAGACAAAGGACAAGGATAAGGACAAAGAGAAGGAGAAGAAAAACAAGAAAAAGCGACTCAAGGAGGAGCACGATGATGACTACGGCAGCAACTTCAAGTCCAAAAAGAAAAAGGTTAAAAAGGTAAACCAAAAAAAAAGATCAGCAGCAAAATAAATGCCGAATCTTTCAACTCTTCCATTCGTTCGATTCCATTGCAGGAGCATGAGATCAAAGCGGAGCACGCTTCACCCACCAAACATTCGCGCAAAATCAAAAAGGACGAAGAGGAGGAAGTGTGGCGATGGTAAATGACTTACTACTATTTAAATATAATAATAATAATATCTAATGAACAAATTAATTCGAACGTCTCGCGAAACTCGAGTGCCATCGACAATATAACATATATAATATTGTCTCGAAATTCTTTATAATTTGAAACTTAAATTTCTTTATAATTTGAAACTTAAATTTCTTTATAACTCAAACTAGAAATTCGAATACAAAATTCGAATTCATTTACAACTCCAAATTCCAAATTCTTCATAAACTCGAAACTCAAATTACATTACAATTCGAACTTGAAATTATACATAATTCGATATCGAAACTCAAAAGTCTTGCCCATGTCTGACTAAATACTCGAAGTTCTTTATAACCCCAACTCGAAATACATTGTATTTCGAATTAGAATTTGTTGCTTGTTACGAAAAAAAAAAAGTTTATTAATTATATTATTTAAGTTAAGTTTAAAATGATTTTAATGCATATTTTAAAACTTTAGAAAATCGAAACGTATTGAAAATGATTATGCTAAACGACGATATTATTAATAATAAGCAAAACAAGCAATTGTGCATATCTGCATATATTTATATATGCGTGTGTGTGCGTGTGCGTGTGTCTGCTTCTGTCACTGTATGTGTGTATTAAGTCTGAATGTCACTGACCTATATTTTTGAAAGTCACATTTGGCAGCGACGACATCGAAATGAGTAGTGAGCAATGCTTTTTTTTTTTATCTTGTTCTTCTTTGTTGATTTTTGGCCATTCGCCGGGGCACGCGTGCGTCAGCTGTGCACACAACAATTGAATTTGAGGTTATGTTTGCAGGTTGGCATATTTGCGTAATGCATGACTGACAAATAACAAATTACTAGAAATAATATAATAAAAGAAAGCAAGGCAGAGGCAGAGAAACAAATGTCGCTGTTGCTATCGTTGCTGATTGCAAAACGTGAAATAAACGTTCTATTTATCAAGCATCAGCAACGAAACGTAGCAACAGCAATTTCGGCCATTGGTATTAGTAAAAATCCAAATAAGAACAGCAAACGAAAATCGACAACAAAAATTAAACGTATTTTTGACGCATCATCATTGTCATTGTCATTGTCCAGGTGGGAGGAGAAGAGGCGAGACGATGGCGTCAAATGGACAACACTGGAGCACAAGGGACCCGTCTTTGCGCCGCCCTACGAACGTGTGCCGCAAAATGTGCGATTCTTCTACGATGGGAAACCGTTGGAGCTGAGCGAAGAGACAGAGGAGGCGGCAACATTCTATGCGAAGATGCTGAATCATGATTACTGCACCAAGGATGTATTCAATACTAATTTCTTTAAGGATTTCCGCAAAACAATGACCGTCAAGGAGAAGGAGATCATTAAAGATTTTCGCAAGTGCAATTTCCAGGAAATGTTTCAATTCTTCCAAGCCGAATCGGAGAAACGGAAAGCGGCCACCAAAGAGGAGAAACTCCTCAAAAAGAATGAGAACGAGGCGTTAGTCAAGGAATACGGTTTCTGTATGATTGATGGACATAAGGAGAAGATCGGTAATTTCCGCTTGGAGCCACCCGGTCTATTTCGTGGTCGTGGCGAGCATCCCAAAATGGGCATGATTAAACGTCGCATTGCCGCCGCCGATGTCTCCATCAATTGTGGCAAACAGTCCAAGGTACCACAACCGCCGATGGGCGGACGTTGGAAGGAGGTGCGTCACGACAACACCGTCACCTGGCTGGCCTCCTGGACGGAGAATGTGCAGGGACAGGTCAAGTACATAATGCTGAATCCATCGTCAAAGCTCAAGGGCGAAAAGGATCACATCAAGTACGAGACAGCCCGCCGGCTCGACAAGGTCATTGACAAGATACGCGCTACATATCGCGACGAATGGAAGTCGAAGGAAATGCGTGTCCGGCAACGGGCTGTTGCCCTCTACTTCATCGATAAACTGGCGCTGAGAGCGGGAAATGAGAAGGACGAGGATCAGGCGGATACCGTCGGCTGCTGTTCGCTGCGCGTCGAGCATGTCCAGCTGCACAAGGAGCTCAATTGCAAGGAGAATGTAGTCGTATTCGATTTTCCTGGCAAGGATTCTATACGCTATTACAACGAGGTCGAGGTCGAGAAGCGCGTCTTCAAGAATCTCGAACTCTTCATGGAGAACAAGAAGGAGGGCGACGATCTCTTCGATCGTCTCAACACCCAAGTGCTAAACGAGCATCTCAAAGAGTTAATGGAAGGTATGCATAACAATCCATAATACATTTAATCGAATATTCATTTATTTTGTTTGCTGTATTCGCAGGACTCACGGCTAAAGTATTTCGCACATATAACGCATCGAAGACACTGCAAAGCCAATTGGATCTGCTCACGGATGGGAGTGCAACCGTTGCCGAGAAACTGCTCGCCTATAATCGGGCCAACCGGGCCGTCGCCATACTCTGTAACCATCAGCGATCGGTGCCCAAGGGACACCAGAAGTCAATGGATAATCTGAAGGAGAAGATACGCGCCAAGCGCGACAACATTGATGACTGCGAGGCCGAATATCATGTAAGTTTATTGATTTGGTTGTAACTTCTGGCAGGCTATCACTCATCACTCCCCATTTGTTGGCTATATTTTTAGCTATACAATTTATTAACAAAAAAATTGAAGTCCTTAATCTTATTGTTTTTATTAAATTATTTAAATTTATCATTATAATAGTAATGGAATAGTAGTGAAGTTGTCTCAGGCTAGACTAAGCTGTAAAGACTAGTTAAATATTTGGAAATTAATAGCACGTTTAAACATTCCCAGATGAGAAACAAAACATTTGTTGTTTTGCCGAATGGAATGGGATTTTTCTTCATTTTGAAGATTTAGAAGAGCTCTCGGTTTGATCACAATAAAATGAGTAATTTATGCAACTCTTTATCTTATTTGCATATTTGTAATTAAAGATTGTAGCAATTGAATACAATTATTAAATTGCCATGTCATCGCTAGCAACTGTTAACAAAAATCACAGAAGCTGCATCGTCCACCTTATGTTAAAGGAAACCGTTTACGTTATGTTTGCATTGTGTTATTTGGTAATAAAATTGATATCGATGTTATTATTCGCAATACAGGATTTGAAGAAAGCAGCCAAGCGCGGATCGGTCAAGGAAAAAGTGAATGCCGATAAGAAGGCCAAACAATTGGAGCGCTTGAAGGATCAACTGAAGAAATTGGAACTACAAGAGACTGATAGAGACGAGAATAAGACCATTGCGCTGAGCACATCCAAACTAAATTATCTCGATCCACGCATATCGGTTGCCTGGTAATATCAATTTGATAATCTCTATATATATATATATATATATTTATTTATTAATCAATTATGCTTTGCAGGTGTAAAAAGAACGGCGTGCCGATTGAGAAGATCTTTAACAAAACGCAAAGAACCAAATTTCTTTGGGCCATACACATGGCCGATGAGAACTATCGTTTTTAAAAAGAAAAACAATCAAACAAACAAACACAACACAAACAACAAACAAACGATTGTTTTTTTAAATCTATATATACAAAAGTAAACAATTTACTACCCATACATATAAAGAAAATACACACAACAGCTACAATTAGAAGAACACAAGAGAGAACGATGCTGTCGGGCGTAACCGACTGCGAAATACTTTGATACCATACGTAATAAAAGTTGATAACAGGTAGCAAATACAGGTTGGGTTGGGTGTCGCTAAGAAATACTGTGCAAGTTTGTCTTTTAAATAAACGTTTCTTCCAAGTTTGGTACCGGCGGGAGTGGGCGTGGTCCAAAATTGTTTTCCCCGATTTTTTTAAGTTGTGTTACTAGCAATATACCTGTCAAATTGGGTGACTAGCTTTCAAATTGTTTGCGAAATATTATTTTTTCGATTTACACAAACCGATACACCTAGGTTTAGGGAGGCGTAGTGGGCGTGGCCATCCAATTCTATATCGATCTTTTAGCGGAGTTACATACGTTGAAAACTTGGTAACTAGCTTACAAATTGTAGACGATATGGGCACTCCAATTTTTACATTTTGTCTGGCACGGGCACAGACTAGTATATGTTCCAAGTTTCAAGACCCTATCTCTAAGGGTGCCGCAAAAAGTGGCGTTCATACAGACGGACAGACAGCATGCCGGACATTGCACAAAACCAATATACTATGACACCTCCTTCGGTATCAAAGTATAAAAAGCGTCGCCACTGCAAAGAGGATAAACAACAACAATATATTGTTGCCGAAGAGTTTACAGAGTACAATTTACAAGTGCTTGGTGATTTCTTTTTGAACTAGGCTGAAGTTTAACTTGACAGCAATTTAGTTAGTGGCAAGCAAGCAGTTAAAGCATACGAAACACAAACACACACAGACACATACAAACACACACACAGACATATACACCCCTATTACATAGAAAGTTATGTATCAGTATATATATGTATGTATGTGTATGTATGTATATATATATATATATATATATATATATATATATATATGTATATATATAGCCAAACCGCCGGAATACGTTATTTTTGTATGTTGTATAATTATGTCGTAACGAGAGAGAGACAGAGAGAAAATCAATTATTTTTATTTCTTATAGTTTTTTTTTTGTGTAAAGTATACTTATAGTTGATCTTCGTTTAGCAAAAAGTTTATACCTTATATTATATATCTACAATTTAAGTGAAAATTAATCCTTGTAGCCGACTTCTAGCATAGCATAATTTATTCGATTAGAGCAGCAAAGCGCAGTGCAAGATAAAAAAAAAACCAACAAAAACAAGAAAAAAATACCATGCAAGCTTATATATACTATTATGATTAATATTAAATACATTTACGTTGTAATTTTGTTCACAATACATTATGGCCTACACATATGTATGCAAATTGAAAAATGAATGTTCTTAAAGGTTTTCTTTTATCCGTGCAACCGTTTTGAGATGATCGTAACTCATTTTATAATTTTGTAATTTCTTGTAATTTTGGCATAACAAAAATTGAACAAAATTCGACTAGGTTTTTTTCTTTTTTTTTATAAAGAGATAGATGTGAGCTCTGCTTGACTGCTCCGGTTTGTCATTTTCGACAGGCCTCATTTTATTTTACTTTATTTTCTTTTTGTTTATATTACATATACATAATGCAATGTGTAATAAAGTTTCACAGAAATAAAACAAAAAAAAGTTTCAAATACAAAACAAACGCTTTTACAACAAACAAAGACTTTCGCACATAGACAGGTTTCAAATTATGTTTTGTTCGATAGACTAACAAATGTAAAAAAAAAAAAAAAAAAAAACAATCAAAACCCGAACAAGCAATAAAAAAAAACAATGCAACAAATAAATGATGATAGCAGTAGAAGCAGGCATAACAAAATCCAATGCACTTTAAGTTATAAAAGGAAAAGAGGAAAGAGACAAAAACACACCTTATAAATAGAGGATAAGTGAGTTAGGTTCGAAATTCGAATTCGATTCGAACTGCAAAATCCAATGCAAAATCATTCGAAACGGACATGCATACACACAGGTAGCCTTGATGATAACGGTAAACACACACATACACACAATGTATGTATGCATGTAGTTTTATAGTGTGTTTTAATTGTGGCGAAGCGCGATTCAGACAGAGAGTGCATGCATGCTCTTGATATGCAAATGCGTGCGCGGATATTATTATTTTTTACCGCAACACACGCACGCATAGCATTGGCAAATAAAAGGGAAAAGTAATTGATATGCATATGTGTAGTCGTATAATGAATTTTGTCTAATTTTTAGCGAACACGTGACGCTTTTTTAAAGTAGATCAATTTGACATTTTTGTCCTGTCCGTGTGTGCACACTGGCGCTGGCAAAAATAAAACGCTACACCATCCAAAACATACACACACACACTTGGCATATTAAATTATGATATAAGCAAAGAAAAAACAGCAAATCTAAGTTTAATGTAATTGTAATGGAATGATGCAAATATACGACAACAAATATATATATGTACACATACACACAGGTGTGTATACACATACACACACACACACACACACACACACACATATATTTCAAACTGAAAAAAGAACAAATTCATTGATTTTTTATTATATTTTGTATGCATAGCCATATTGCATTTGTTAGGCTAGAATCGAAAAGGCAGAGATAATATTAATATTATTTTATGCAGCACTATCGCCAATGTTCTTTTTTTTAAATTTCTTTTTATGATTTTGCTGCTTATGCTACGCATAATTAAATTGAACTGCTTAATAAATGCTCAAAAAGTGAGAAGCGAAAGAAAAGAAGACAGCAACATAACTGCAAATCGTTCATGGAGCGCCCCCAAGCAGTGCAAAATCAAGTAGCGCAATCCTAACCGAAAACAATAAAGTTGGAAATATTCTGATATCAATAAGAGATACCAGCTGATAACGGGTGCCAGGTGCAGCCAATAAATTGTGACTTTTAAAGGAGGTTCCTAGTAATCTTCCTTCCAAGCTGGGCTTTTAAATAGCGGTAGATGTAGAATTTTGTGCATTTTCTGCGGGATTGTGGGAGATGTGTGGGTTTATTGATATACGCTTTCAGACATCGATTTTGGCGATAATGGGGGCAGGTGTGGGCGTGGCCACGCAATTTTCGATTCTGATCTTTGAAGAACATTGCCAACAACCTACCAACTTTGTAACTGTAGCTTCAAAATTGTAGGAGATATGTGGCTTTATCGAAGTACGATTACCGATTCTATCGATATCGCAGCCTTCAAGTGGATGTAGCACCCCAGTTTTGACATTTTGACGCGCGTACAGATCAGTATATGTTCCAAGTTTCAAGTTTTGTGCATCTTGTTCGATTGTCGATAGGTTAAGATGTATGTGTATTTTTAAATGATATGTGTAAATTTAAATTATATCTGCCACATTAGCGCCATCTGTGTTTCGTCTACACGCCGTCTGTTGTCAGGCTGAGTGCCAGTGCTGTCAATGCGGCCAACGCTGCCAACACTGCCAATACATCGATGCGAATGCTGCACACTTATCGATAAATTGTGTAAAATGCAAGTCTAAATTAGAAAAATAAATAGACAGATAAATTGTAGCTGGAAAATTGTAAAATAAACGACGCCACATACGACACATAAGCCAGATAAGGCGCGGGAAAACGAGTGTGTTCGACTGTGTGTGTGTGTGTGTAACGCACATGTGCATTTAAATGGAAATGGAAAAAAAGACTAAGGAGCAAATGCGTCGGTATAAAAAGTCGCGGCACACGCATTCCAGCAGCGATAGCTCGAGTACAGAGACGGAAAGCGGTAGCAGCTCATACAGCAGCTCCGACAGCGAACGCGATCATCATGGTCACGGGCATCCGCATCCACATCCGCATCCACACCCGCATCAGAGAGTGGCAGTTGTGGAGCATCGTCATCATCGTAAGAAGAAGAGCTCGCGACGAGCGGGCAGCCCCTCGTCTTCCGGCGAGGAGCGTCGCAAACGGGATAAACGTGATCGGGATCGCGATCGTGACCGGGACAGAGATCATGTGCAGAAGAAGCTCGTGGCGAAGCGCAATCACATCAAGCGCAAGCTGAAGGAGGCCAGGCTCAAGAAGCGGGCAGCCGCCGCACTCAGTGGCCACGGACATCGCGCCCTCTCGCCGGCAACGCAGGCCAAGCTGAAGAAGCTGGCGGAACGCAAGCATATGCGTGCTGCCAGCAAGGAGCAGCGCGAACGAGAGCGCGAGAAGCTGCGCAGTGTGCATCGCGAGCGGGAGCGAGATCATCATCGATTGGGCAACAGCCGGTCGCCGACGGGCCTGGCCAGCACGACGACCACCACCAAGATACGCATCCATCAGGATGTGGGCAAGCGCCAGAAGAGTCCAGGCTCTGTCAGCAGCTTGGGCTTGGGTCCCCAGTGTATGCCCGCTGCTCGGATGCACCACACGCTGATGTCGCGTGAGAAGCTCATCATACAGACGAGGGCGCGCGGACGTACGCCGTCGCTGGAGCGCGAGCGGGAGCGAGAGCGGGAAAGGGAGCGCATCGAACGAGAGAGGGAGCGCGAGCGCTTGGAGCGGGAGCACGAACGGCAGCGACAGCACGAGCACAAGCTGCAGCGGCACGATGATCTGTCGCTGCGCGAACGCGAGCGGGACCGACGTGAGCGCGAACGTGAGCGCGCCGAGCGGGAGGCAGCCAGGGATAAGGAGCGTGCCGAGGCATTGGCCCGTTGCCAAGAGCGACAACGGGAGCGTGAGCGCTTAGCACGCGAGAAGATGCGTCGCCAGGAGGAGGAAGAGGGCGGCGGCAAAAAACCATATAGCGTTGTTGGCGTTGGTCGCGATCTGGACATGACCATGACCATGCCGTACGGCAGTCGGGAGCGTTCGCTGGAAGCTGTGGACCGTCCCGGACGACATGTGCGCGACAAACGCGACCTGGTCGATGCCTACGAACGGGAGCAGGAGTTCATCGAGGCGGAGCGTCACGGTCTCGTCCTCGATGAGATGCGTCGCTACGGCGGCGGCGGTGGCCAAAGACGTCGCGATCTCAGCCCCCTGCCGCCCGATCATTATCCGGGCAGACTGCGCGATCCGCGCGACATCTACTCGGAGGAGGAGCGCGAAAGGTAAACCCGAAAACCCAATAAAGCAAAACATACGATTCTGTTCGGCAATTGTAGTTGGCAATTGTACCCTGTAAATATATATGCAACTGATACTCGCGTATACCCTGTATTCACATATATGCACACCTCGGCAGTCAAATTGTCAATTTCTTCCTTGTCCTTGGAGCTTCAAAGCTCACTCCTCACACCTCTTTTAATGTCTAGGTGTGTATCTGTGGAATAAGATTTGAATTGGACTCATCAATTGTGTGTTGTGTTGTGCTGTGTTGCAGGGCGTATAAGCGTGCGTATATGGAGCAGCGTTACTCCAGGGAGCGGGAGGCGTGGCTGGAGGCGCGCGAGATGCGCGACTATCGTGAACTGGATGCCGAGGATGTGCTGTACGATGACCGCGAGCGCATGATCCGTGAACGTGAACGGGAACGGGAGCGAGAACGGGAGCGGGAGAGAGATCGCGAACGATTGCCATCGCGCGGTGATTATCGTGCTGAGTGGGAGCGCGAATGGGATGAGGATACTGGCTCTGCTGGCGGCGTTGGCGTTGGTTCTGGGGCTGCCAGTAACAATGCGACACCTGGACGTGCCAGCGGTTTCATTGGCGGACCCAAACGGCCGAAGCCACCAATCCAGCAAACAGCACAGCAGCAGCAGCAGCAGCAACAGCAGCAGCAGCAACAACAACAACAGCAGCATTCGGCATCGGAGCCCGACTGGGATGCCGATGAGCGAGAGGAGTGCGTCGCTGGTGGTGTGCCTGTGATTAAGAACGAGCCCGCCTGGCTGGAGCACGATCAGCGCGAGAAGCCGCGTGCCTGGCAGCAGCCCAACAACAACAACATCAACAACAGCAGCAGCAACAATAGCAACAACAACAGCAATGATTGGCGCGACAGCGACGAACCGAACTTTGGCCGGAGCAGCAATGTTACTGGTATTGAGGTGCAGGCGGCGCCACATCATGCGCCGAGTGCCTCGCCACATCATGCACCAAGCCAAGCCTCGCCACATCATCATCATCATGTGCATCCGCGTGGAGAGCGTGGTGGCGGCGCCGGCTGTGGCGGACGTGGCTTTCGACGTGGCGGCGGACCAGGTCATAATCATGGTGATCATGGCGAGCGCGGCTTCCGATCACATCCGCCCCCGTTGATGACGTTGCCGGTGCAGCCGCCCGGTGGCTATCATGGCGGTAGTTCGCGTGGCTTCCTCCACAAGCGTATGCCATATGGTGGCGGTGGTGGCAGTTATCTCAAGAAGCATCCGCATATGCAGCCCGTTGCAGCCACTGTGACAGTGTCCACTGTACAGCCGCCGGTGCATGTCCAGGCCAAGCCGACCAATGCGGCAGCCCAGGCCAGTGCTGTGGCAGCGGCAACCACTGCGGTCGCGGCGGCAAAGGCGGCCGCACAGAGCGCTGCAAATGCGACCACAAATCCGGGCATATTGGCACAGGTTAGCAAGCTGCCAAACATTAAGCAGGAGGATGCATCCGAGGACTCGGTAGGCACGCCAGAGCTCAGCACGAGCAGCGGTGCCGTCGAGCCGCCATCCTCGGAACAGATCCTATCGATGGATGCGTCGCTGCGCCAAGTGAAACAGGAGCCAAAGACAAACGGCGAACTGAGCGAGATCAGCGATAGTGATGATGATATACTGAACACAACCGACAAGGTGAAGCCCAAATGCGAACTGGAAATGGATGAGGAGACGCTGGCTAGCGCACAGGAGCTATCAACCGATGCACTCTCCCCCAGCGAAGAGCCCATCAAAAGCGAGGTGGACTCTCAGCCGGATCCGAATCCAGAGTCACCGGCCCAGGCAGAGGGACAGACACAGTCGAGCATTAAGAGCGAGGAGATCGACGAGGTGCTCGACTTTGAGGAGATCTCCGATGGTGAACTGGAAGAGGACGCCAGGAATAAGGGTAAGGGCAAACTGAACAATGGGAGAGCGTTGCAGTCGGACGTAACCGACTGCGAAATACACTGATACCAATAATACCAGCTGATAAACAGGGTGGGTGGGTGGTTGTAGAGAAGAAATACCGATCTTTGAAAGGGCTTTCTAGTAATCTTTGAAGGAAGTTACCAGCCTAAAGGGAGCCTGGGGGTGGCGGATGTAGGCGTGCCATATGCCGATCTTTGGAGGACAAACTACCAACTAAATTTGGGGACTGAAGTTTTCAAATTGTGGGAGATATGTTGCTTTATCGATTTGTGATTTGCGATTATCGATTTTTATCGATTTTTATCGAATTCCTAGCCTCCTAGTGGACATAGAACCCCAATTGCCCACACAGACGGACATTTCACAACACCGATATACTCTGAATACTTTCGGTACAGAGTATGCAATGCAAAAAAAATAAATAAATGAAACAAACGTGAAAAATTCTTAATTCGCTAATGTGTCTTTGCAGGCATTGGCGATGCGCTGGGCGTGGACTGGCAGGGCCTGATTGCTGAGACGCGACAGCAGGCATTGGATCATGCCGCACTGCAGGGTGTCGAGCGCATTACATCGGCCAAGCAGCGCTGGCAGCCACATCGCGTTCTCCTCGACATGGGCATTAGTTTTGAGATGGCCGGCGAACAGTATGCCCAACAGGTGCTCGAGGATTCGCGCAAGCAGCTCATGCTCGAGAAGCAAAAAGAGAAACAAAAGAAGCAGCAGCAACAGCAACAACAGCAGCAGCAGCAGCACTATCATCAATTCGATGTGGATGTGGGTGTAGTGAAGACGGAACCGGCGGAACACAAGCCGTTTGCCAATAGCAAATTGCCACTGTTGGACGACTACAGCGAATTGCTGAGTAGCGATCCGGTGGAGCCGCTGGCCTGCGTCCAAATGGGTTTGCGCAGCGTGGCCGCCGAACGGAGGCGTCTCGTTGGCAACGTTTGCGGCCCGGGCAGTCGGGCGCTCAGCGCTCGGCAGGATTTACGCTTGCGCCGCCAGCTGTGCGGATTGCCAGCCCGTGAATGCGAATTTCCGCGCAATGTGCCGCTGGTCAGCGATGGTTTGCGCTCGCTGGCCCGGAATATGTTCCAGCGCTCGCTCGATGTCAAATGAGATCCGATCACTCAACGTCGGCTCGAGCCGTACAGCTATAGACTTGATTTTCAAATCTATACCCATGGCCTGGACGATGGTTCAGTCGGCGAGAATGTGAACACTGACAATGTAAACGATGATGACCTGAGACGATGGTGATGATAGCAGCTGATGTTAACTGTTCCGCGGCTTCTCCAAAATTACCTTAATTAAGTCCGAGATTACAATATATATATGTGTGTGTGTGTGTGTGTATACATACAGTGCCGCTCAAGTGAATAGGTTCAAAACACTTCCACACATCATTTTCTTATTGATTTAATATTGGCTAAACTGAATAAGTACGTTGTGACTTAAGGCAATAATTCACCCGTTTGGTAAAAATAAACGAATTAAGTTTAAAATTAGTATTTGCTGAAAATGAACGAATTGGCGTCATTATAATTTTAACTTATATCAGATATAAATTCATTTATCGAGCACATATCGATCGAAGCAAAGTGAATTCAATTTGAAGCATACAAGCCAAAATAGAAGTTGAGATGTATGATAAAAATGCGAATATGATTTCGTGCACCTATTCAGTTGGTCGGCACTGTGTGTAGCTATCGAATTATATAATATTGATGTATATTAATGGATCACATATTTGTGTGTGTATTAAATCTAAATGTGCTTTTCTTCAATCCAAAAAAAAATCAAAAACAAAAACAACAAAACAAAACAAATCAAAAATTCATGTGGATAATAAACAATTTATTTCGAACCACGTTTTATTTGGCCATAGTTCGGGTAAGCCAAGTTGTAATTCATTTGGCTTACAAATCCGTGTTCGCCTTGATCCAGCTAACATGATAATAGACGCGTGCATAGCCGTCTGGATTGTTGCGGCCACAGCCACCGTAGACGAAGCCGGCAATGCCAACCACTTCGTTGTTGTAATGGGCTGGGCCACCGGAATCTCCATTACAGGCACCATTGTCTGCCTCATGGATAAGGCACAACATATTCGGATAGCCATAGTTAATACTTTCCTGGCATTCTTCCAGCGTCTGCGATGTGAGCGTATTATATTGCAGATACCGTGGTAGATCGCCACCTTGTCGTAGACGACCCCAACCAGAGATTATGATATCAGCGTGCGCTGGCGTATCTTTGCTGGGCAATCCAATTGCCTGGATGTACTCCGAGAAGATGAAGGGTGTCTCCATACGTATTACGGCCACATCGTTCAAAAAATTACCATAATCCTCGTGCACAGTGATGGCCGCCACCTGCTTGAGAACGCCGCCTTGGAAACGATCATTGCTGCCGGCGCGAACCGTCAACTGGCTGGTTGCATAGATGGCCAATTCGCCACCGTTATCGTAGGTAACACAATGCGCCGCAGTTAGCACATAGTTGGCCGAGATGATCGAGCCACCGCAATTGTGGGAGCCATCCTTGCGCAGCGATATTTGATGCGGAAACTGGCCCTTGTTGGCATCGACGCCGCCAACAATACGGCTGTCGATGGGATTGGGTGCTGCCTGGCAAATGGCAGCTAAAAGCACAATCGGGCCAATCACAGACACCAAGCTGGACAACATTGTGGCTAAAAGTCTAAGACTAAGACTCGTCAGTGCCAACTAGGGGCCTTTATAGACTGTCGATACTATCCGAAGCCATAATTGCTGATAAGCTAAGCAACATGCTCCGATTTCAGCGATTACAGCTGAGTAGCAAATATCTTATCGTCTGACATTCAGCAGAATAATTTATAGCTCTATTATTGTTATCAATTAGCCACTATCAATATTATTACCACTGCCTTGCCTTGCCTTGCCTTGCCTTGGGGTTCTTATGCTGCTCCAGTGCGTCCATCTCCCATTATAAATTTATACATATATAAATATATATTAACCAATTTGATGGCTCCAGAAGCAAGTTTATTTTATAGTCTAAAAAAGTGCAAATAAAAACCAAAACCAAAAACAAAAACAAACAAAACATAATCGCGTACATAAATTCAACTTTATTTGCTCGCTTCAGGAATGCAACGAAAACGAAAGAAACAAATTTATTATACATATCAATAATATTAACGTTGATAATAAGCAGCTTAAAATTAGTTCACACATCAATCAGATCCTAAACTACACTAACAAGCATGATCATAGAAACTTGTCAAACTTTAATGGGCCAAATCAAAAAAAAAAATATTAAAAAAAAAAACATTTAAAATAAATTTTGAAATGGAATGGACGAGGACGAGCTGTGTAGAAGCTACACAATAAATCCCTTAAATAGTAAACAGATGAAAATTGCAAAAAACAAGATGGAATACTGAAAAATGAGGAATTTTTTGTGAGTGTAGCTAGATTATGTAATAAAGCTATATGTTTTATAAATAATATAAAGCACTTCTGTATAGGCATGCTTTAATGTAAACGTTCAGTACAGGTTCGCCAGTTGAATGATCCGCTCCCTAAACGCTGTACAGGGTGCTATTGTCCGGTTCCAAGGCCACGGCCTGGACGATGAAGCGCCTCCGATCCGCAATATTGCTGCTGCTGCCAGATGCCGATCGCTGCGATTAGGTGTGGAAATATTGAGATAATTAATGCTTGTTTATATACAATATGTAATACATATATATATATATACTATATACATATAGTATATGCTAATTGCCGTTAACTAGCATAAATGGGAAAAATATGCGGATGTATATCAAGCTGGGAAGATTACAATTGGGAAACACACACAATTGAAGCACATGCGGGAAATGAAGGATTAGGGCTTTATTTCTATGGTAAAACATAACAAATACTCACACAATGCAACAAAAATAACGTTGTATTATGGCCTCAAATCAGGCTCAAATCAAAAGGTTCCTAATTTTTTGTACATTGATTTTAAACTTTGAATTTCAAACAACATTTTCATTTATATGGTTTCCAATTATTATAATCTTATCATTATCGATTTATTTTTTTAATTTTTGAATTTTGCTTGGTCAGATTTTGATTAATTCAAGTCGTTTGTTGTTGCTATATAAAATGGTATACAAAAATAATGAGAAATTTTCGAAATTTCTTCAAAGAAAGCTGCCTTTTTTTGAGAATTTGCAATTGCAACAACAAACATTCGGATCTATGTTTATTCTAGGAATAATACTCGAGACTTTTGATCTAAAATTAGACATAAAAGAGAATAGAACAAAAGTACAATTTAAATAAATTATAGACAATGACACAATTATGCAATGAAACTTAAACCAAGATAAACAAATGAAAAGACTACAAATATATATATATGCATACATATACTTATATATATATATATATATATATATATATATATATATATATATATATATATATATATATATATATATACACATACATATATCTAATTGCATTGTAGATGGGTAAAAGAAAAAACAAACCATTAACCAGCCAAAAAAAAATAAATAAGAAACAACCAGAAACCACAACCAGGTGCAGAACCGCAACCGAAACAGGAACCGGAACCGGAACCGAAACCGAAACCGCGTTAAGTTAATGATTCTATCAATCAATCTATAAATCAGTTGTGGGTGGTATGTCGGTGGCGGGGTCGAGCACGGAGGCGGGGGCGTCACTCACATCAGTGCATTTGCATAGCGCCTCATCGAAGTCAGTGCCGGTGGTGCAGCTTTGATTGTGCTGACAGGCGCAGGTGCAGTTGGCAGGATCCCAATACTTGAGATCCGAATGCTGCAGGCACTTGTCGCGCGCATCCGTATTGGTGCACTCGCAGCGGCACAGATCTTTGCGGTACTCCTGGTACGGATTGCAATCGCCGGGCTTTTTACGGCAATCGCACTTGCACGCCAAATGCTTCTCCACAGTCACAATGACACAGGTCACCTTGCCGGGCATCTCTACGTGCGTTCTCTTTACGCACATCTCCACCATCTCCGTCTGCGTCGGCTGGCACGAGAGGGCGACACCACAGCATCCATTGCACCTATTGATTCGCGTACACTGCGGCCGATAATGCACATTGACAGAGGTCTCCTCGTCCGCCTCTCTCGCTAACGGCAGCAGTTCCACAATGGTTGGCTGCGGTGAGCAGCTTGCCGACACCGCATCCTTTACGCCTGTTAAATGAGAGAAACCCAATCAATTAGTCACTGGCCGAGCATCTACAGTAGCGGTCAAAAAAATAGTACTGCTGCTTTTCAAAGTATTTCAATAAAAAAGCATAAAGAAAAATGCAATTATGCAAAAAAAAAATGTTTGCTTTCTCATCTGGGAATGTTTTCAAATAAAGCTGAGCAGACTTCACAACTATTATAATGATATAAAATAATAATTGAATATAAATTATCTTCAGCATTAATGGCTTGTGGTCAAATCAAATGTGTGTCATTTTTTTTAACTATATTTTTTAAGTATGTGTTCTTTTAATATTTTCCAAAACATATTTTTAGGCACTTCTATTATTTTGATTGCAACTGTATGTGTGTGTGTGTGTGTGTGTGTGTTGCACTTACGACGTTTCACACTGCGCTTAAAGATCTCTGGAATAGAGGAATTGATTAGCTGTTGTGGCTTAATGTGATCTATTCCAATTATGGCATACCCTTGGACTCGGCGGAGCCGTCTGTTCCATCATAGCCAGCTGTTATATTGCCCAAATCCGACGTAAGCTGTGCGAACAAAATTCAATATCAGTTTAAATGTAGTTCCTACAAATTTGATTAATAAAACTGTCAACTGTCGTTTAGGAATCCGTATTGAAACCTTATTTAAGAGAGAATCACATGTTTTATCCTTACAGAAGTATAAAAATCAATTTGGAAATGTGAAACGAAAAAAAACATCGATTTGTAAGTGACAAAATGCAAATGGTTTGTGGAATGCTTGATAAAGCTTGATATAATTCTATTCTAGTATTATACATTTGGATCTTAAAAACATTTGACTTGGAAAGTTCAACATTTACTAGTTTAGGCACAACGATTGCTGAGCCACCCTTTGAAAAGGATTACGCTTCAAATACTTTCCTAAAAATACCAAAGGATGCATAAAAATCAATTTTCTAAAAAAAAAAACACATCGTAAAAGTAGTGGCAAGATGAGAAAGTTTTATGGCAGAAAATGCCTGGCATAATTCTTATTATTATTATTATTATTTCGCTTCGCAGAAAACAACAAAAAGCAAACAAAAGCATAGAAAAAAAAGAAAGAAACACCTGCACATAGATGATATTTGCGACAATCTACAGTTGCCAAGGCAGCTTAGCTGATTAGTCACTAGTCGCAGACAGATTGCGCCTCGATTTAACAGCAGAGATTCCAAGAAACACGCGCATCGCATCCAATTTTATAATGATTTGGATACAACTTTTGCAGGTACAGTTACTGCAAACAGAATGCTCCACATTATGGTTGCCGCCGGTGCACGTGCCTTTTTGGTGTCAGTCGGATTAATTCCAATTTACCAATTGACCAATTGACCGGTTAACACGTCGGCATTGAAGTCGCTGCGACTGCCGTCCGTTGGAGATGAGTCATTTGGTGGCGCCATTTCAAACTTCCGTTTCACGGCTGCCTTTTGCTCGCTAAATAATTAGCTTGTAAAGTTCACTGGCACCAGAGAAATTTACGTGACTTTTTGATTCAAAATAAAAACAACAAAGTTGAATACAAATAATTAATTAATGATTAAATACAGCTAATCTCAATACAGCTATTAAAGTAAAGTTAACAGCTAAAGTTGAAGGAAAAGTAGCCAAGAATAAATGGGAATTATAATTAAAAGTACAACTTTCTCCAAAAGGGGTTTTGAAAGAAATTTCCGCAACTATTTTGTGTGCTATAATGGAATGAGCAGCAATAGGATCAACAATAACAACAATTTCCGGACGTAATTTGATCGGTAAAGAAAAAAGAACCGTTTGCAAAAGATAAGCAGCGAAATAAGATCCATTGTTTTGCACTAACTGTATTTGTATACCTGTATTTGTATACGGATTTGTATCCCTGTTTATTTATTTGTTAATACCATTTATTATCAATTCCGCTACGTATGCTGCTCTTGAGCCTTTTTGTTTATGCAAGCTTGAGTCTTGGGATTTATCTTTTAATTGCGACGAACGCAAACAATTGCTGAGCAAATACAAATGCGAGCTACAAATATAAAATGAGTAACGCCTAATTAAAAAACGTCGTAGTGCGACATAATGTGGGGTGGGGTGGGGTGGGTGGTGCTGGGGTGAGGAGGGGGATAGACGGCGCCTCTGTCTATTCGCGTGACGTTATCAGAACATCACAGAGCAAACACAGTCAGATGGGTGCAAGAAATGTGATAGACGACGACGAGCTGAAAGCTGACCCAAATATGCAAAGCATTGGCGCCATCTGAGAAATGTTTACTCTTAATGCACTGCTGGCTCACCGTTACAGGCTCATCGGTTGCGCTCGGGCAGCAGCTGGTTGCCTCTGCGGCGACTTCGGCAGCAGCCGGATCGCTTGTCTGTGTTTGTTGCTGTGTCTCTGCAGCCGTATAAAAGAAACGCGACTGCGCCGTTGCAGCGCCTGCAACTGTTCCCATCCAGCTGTTCAGCAGCAGCAGTACTAGGAGCACTATATTAAATTGCCTTGACATTTGACGGCGGCGTCGCTGCTGCGCATGCTTTAAATCATTGCTACTGCTGCTGCTGCTGCAACTGCGCGTTGTGTGCTGGGTTTGTGTCATTGCTGATGTTAGCGGTGTGAACGGTTGTTGATTCGCTGTTAACGTATGTACTGTACTGTTACGTCGCTGCGATATCGCTGTCACTCAAATGTTGTCTGCAAATAGAGAAAAAGAAAGAGAAAGAGAGTGAGAGTGGGAGTGAGAGTGAGAGTGGACGGGAAAAGGGTAGTGTATTTACATACGTCACTTAATTAACATGTTTGTTTTTAAAGCTTAAAAAAAAAACTATGCAACTGTCTTGCCTCTGATTTATGGCTAAATTTATAATGAGCAAGAAGTCACGTCAGTCGCGATGTGGGTGCTTGCATATGCTTGTGTGTGTGTGCGCCCAACAGGTGTTCACACGTACGCACACACATACAGCCACTCACATACCTGCATACAGACGGCGCAACACGAATTGGGGTCAGTTTTTGTATTTGTATTTGTATTTGTTGTCAACTGTAAATGACAAAAAGCTTTTGAAATGGTTAACTTGACATTGATACAAAAAAGTACACGCAACGCAGCAAGAACAACAACAAATACAGTCTTATCATAAATAAACACCCTCTCTCTATACATGTGTGTGTGAGTGTCTGGGCTAACAATCATGCGTCAGGCATATCAATAAGTACATCATTAAAATGATTGCGTGGCAATTCAAAATCACAATAGTTGATCGTATTTGAAATACCCAGCATTCTCTATATGTGAAAACAAGTAAGAATGCTGCAGTCGAGTACGACTCGAGTACCCGATGTGCTCGATTACGATATAACTTGGACGTTTCGCATCCGATCTTGATGGAATTTTAGCAGTTGATCGGAAATATGTTAGTGTATATCAATTAAAAACCTCTGGCTTTTATTGCTATTGAAAATATAAATGTATCGTTATACGAGACACGAAGACAGTTATTCAGTGAAGAAAATGGCTATATCGACTCGGCTTTTGATTCTGATCAATAATATATACTTTATGGGGTCGAAGATGCTCCTTTTGCATTTTACATACTCAAGCAGAAGGGCATTATACTCTTTTTAGCCATTTCCAATGGGTTCAGGGTATAAATATCAGTGGAAAAATATATAGATCTAAAAACGGTTTTATTCCGTGTGCAATTAACTACTACTTTATATGTACATATATTCGGTGATTGCATTTAGTAAGAATTTAAAATCAAAATCACTAATTGAAATTATTTGATCCCGTCATTAGGTCGGCCTGTCATACTCCAAGCAAGTGTATATGCCCTTGGTGGACTGGTACCAGTACTGGGTATTTTGATATGCGAGTCAATCGCTTACTTCATACCTTTGGCCATGAATGGACAATGTTTGTTTTGTTGACCTGGTTGCTCTTACCCGTAAATCAGCTGGACAAATTTAACCAAAACCAAGAATTCTTGCAAGTGGACAGGAAACGATTGAAACCCAAAGGGAAAAGCCGGCAAAACCAAAAGCTCAGGGTATGACTCGAAAAACAGAGGGGGAAATTGTAATTTCTGATTCATAATGCTCATAATTAATAAAGATAAGATATTTTTGTTTTTTATATGATCAGGAAATACTGCAATTTTCTAATTATAAATTATACGTAAATAGTGATTAATATTAACGTCTTACATTGATTATTTTGTTGTGTTTGTTTCATATAACTGAAGTCAAATTAAATACGCGCTTGTTACAGAGTTGATTATTAAACTAGAACAAATGCATGCGATCAAAGTGGACTTTTAATTACACACATACATATATCAAGTTATTGGCATTGACACAGAATGGATTCCAGAACGAAAAACTACTCCTTTTAGCGAGAGAATTAAAGGTATTTACAATTAATATATATATAATATTCACTGACATATTGTTGATCGACTGCCCAACTTTTACAATAAAACTATAATATATATATAACAGCTGGGTTCAGGGTGTATCGTAGTCGGGCTCACCCGACTACAACTTTCTTTATTTGCAAGAGTTAACCCGAACTCAGAAGTATGAAATTATTTGTTTAATTAAAGTTCTGATATACCATTTTTGTTTATTTGTATGTACATACATATGTATGTATGTATATTTGATGCGAAATGCATGCACAAATATGAAATTTCTTATTATAGGTCAGTGAGCGCGTTTTACTTTCAGTTTGCTGCTGCTTGTTGCCGATAATAATGCGATGCGATGCATAAGAAAAACAATAAATACATGCGCGCTGATAGCTGATACCGCATAGCTCAAGGCACTTTATCAGCTAAGCAGTTGCAAAAACAGCAACAACAACAACAACAACAACAATGCTCTGCAATTCATTCATAAATTGAGCGTGCTAAATGCAAAATGGCCCCCCACAAGTTGCAGGCATTTTTCACTTCCAGGCATAAAGCAGAAGGAAGAAGACGACGCGTGATACACTGCGCGGGTGTATGCGTGTAAGTGTGTGTGTGCACAGCTTGTTTAAAAATAGCTTTGGCTGCGCTACGAGCTTAAAAGAACAACAGACGCACAGTCTAACGGTAAGGGAAGTTTGCATAAAACTTCAGAAATAAAAGCTTTGTTTCGAACGATAATAACATAAATACAGCTGTATATACAAATACATATACATACGCACATATATATAAGTATTTGTGTACAGTTATAAACGCCTGATTATGCCTGTATGCAACTGTAAAACACATGCGCACGCGTGCAAGTGATTATTTGTGCAATCAGTGAGACACAAACGACAATCATGAGCCAGCCTTCTCTCTCTTACACATGTATTTCTCTCTACGGTGCCATTAAGCAAACAAATGCTAATTGATATGGCAGAATTGCTGTTTGTTGTTGTCGCTCGTACGTATGTTGTTCACCTGCGTGAGTCAGTTAACAGGGCACTGTTAGTGTGACTCAAGGTTATTGATGGTACTGACTCTGCCTCTGCTAGCAGCAAGTTAGTTTGTTTGTTGCCATATTTAATATAATATAATATAAAAATATATTTATATGTATTTACCTATGCAGCTGGTTAAATGCTCATTAAGGGTTAGTCTGTACGTGCAAATGTATGTTTCGTGAATTAATTTGCCAATGCGCTTATCACAAACCGTTCGTTATTTAGTCATGGGTATCGTCAGCAGCGAGCAGCAGCGAGCAACTGCCGCCGTCGCGCATGCCAATGACGTCTATGGCGACGCTGGCTGGGTACAGATTACAAATTAAGCACGCTTTAATTAATAAAACAATGCGTTTTGTGTTTTCTGATTGTCGCTGCGGTTTTACCTGTTCTCCCAGAGACAGATGGAGAGAGTGAGAGAGGGAGAGAGACATTGCTGAGCGATGCGTCATGCTATTGTCGACGCGTGCAGCGCTGCCAGGTAAGCTGTCGCCACGAGATATCATGAACTTTGCTGCTCCCCCAATTTCATTTAATTCGTTAGCAATGCGACAACAACAATAGCAGCAACATCAACAACAACAACAACATACCCAGCTGCGAACTAGTGAATGTTTCTTCTTTACAGAATGCATTCTGTAATTAAAGTAATTAATTACCTAATTACATCGATTACCTAGTAATCGAATACATATTTCTTCTCAATTTAAACTCATTTTTAATTTGATTTAATCAATTTTTTTAGTTTTGTATTTTTTTTTTGTGTCGACTGACTTTAGTTGACATTAAATAAATAAATATAAATACTACAGTCTTGCATGTAGTCTAAGTCAAGCGCTTATTTGTATTGGATTCATATCTATTTTACAATATCTTTGAATTAGTGCCTTTTGCTTATTGAAGTACTCTTTTTTAACGGATATGCAATATGTGTAGTGAAAAATAAAATAAACTGGTATGTTCTTATTGAAACACTTTTCCGTTTTTGGAACTGCATTACAATAGTAGATCTTGGTAGATGGAGTCGTATAGTATTGCAATTATGATCCTTCACACAAGGTATGCGAGCCTGTAAGCCACAAAAAAACCTTCTCTGCATTCAAAAGTAAGGTGCTTATGGAAAAGTATATGCCTACAAAGAATAGATTACGAATCGAATTCGTAATGGTGTCTTTTCGCTGCGCTGCTGGGATAATAACATCCAACTGTAATAACAGCAAAAAAAAAGGGCCACAGACATAGGCAGAGGCAAGGACGGAGGTAGATGCATCGGCAGAGGCAGAGGGCTGTGAGCAGTGGGCGGATAATAGCAGCGTCTGCGCGAAGCTCACACAGAAAGGCAAATCAATTACAGTTATGGGAATAAGTAGTGATTTTGTGAGCAGTGCTCGAATAGCCTAGATACCCTGTATTCGCCGAAGGTATTATTTAATTAGCCTACGCAAATATCTATACTCATCGAATCAAAATTAATTTTCATGATACATTTAAATTTGTTATCTACATAAATAGTTCCATTAAATTGTATTACGTGTTTTATATACATTTTATATAAAAATAACTGAGTGAATGATTCACTTTAAAGAATGCACAAATTGATACTACGAGCAATGGGTATTATGGAATTGGTTTGTATGTGCAAGAAAAGAGCGCATTTTTTTATGTTTTGTATAATAACAAACATTCATCTGAGGTGGGGGATGTGGAGGAGGAGCGGCGGGCGACTGATGCAGCAATTTGACAAAATAAATGATGGATTTGGTGATATGGGTCTCTAATATGGCTGTTAACTTGCTGGTGATCACTCTGATGTTGATCAGTGCTCCTTCCCCGACTAGTCGAGAGCAAAAAAAAACCCGGGAAGGCGATTTAGCAAAAGTCAATGGGAAACATATACTAAAAGATGGAGCAAAAAGTGTAAAGGATTTGCCGATCATAATACAAAATTCCAGAATTCCGATTAAAGTAACTATGTATGTGAAGCTTTGGAAAGTATATAGCTTCATTTCCATTATAGTCTGGGTTTTTATTCTATATTAAGTTGTAAAAGATTCGGATTTCATTTTTCCGCACTTTTAATTACACGAGATTAAAGCTTGACACATTTGAGATCAACACCAGCCATGGGCGTAAGCAGGTGTAGGAAGAGGGATCAACCCCCAACCCCACCACACATTTATATTGCAACAAATTCGATCGAAACAATTTCGGACGAAAATGCGACTTAATTTCAGATGCGTTTGCATCATAACAACCCCCTTAACTCCTCTACCCCCTGGTTACGTCCTTGGGCAGAAGCGGAATTAATCGGAAACTGTGTGTGCAAAGTGAACTTATTCGTGATTTTCTCCGATATTCACATCGGCTAATTAAATTCACACTTTACAACCGGTGTTTGACTAAATAAATTACTTCAAGTCTCTGTCGATTTAAAATCAACTTTGAATAGCATAAAATAGGCGAAGCGTAACGACTTGCACGGGTTTTTTTTTATATATATATATTTATTGTTATTGTATTTTTTTTTGCGGGTTTCGGGTTTATTCACTTTCAAGGAAATTAAGAACAACAGTTACAGTTCGGTGTGATAACTGATAAAAAGTTGTTCTGCTTTTGGTTTCAAATAGTCACCAAACAAAAAAACAACGAAAGCTTTTTAACTAGTCAGAGCACCCAAATGGAAAACAATTTAAAAATAAAAACAAAAACAATTCAGATCAAAAAAAAAAAACAATAGACAATAACAAAAAGTTGTTAGCTGCTGAGGGTCGCCGGATCGGTAAACGCCACTGTATTTGTATTTGGGTGGATTAAGCTCAACTTTATTGTTTTTAAGTTGGAATTTAGTATATTTAGCGGATGCACTTACGCGAAACTTCAGCTCTCAATAGTGAGTTAACACACAGATGAGCAATTTTGAAAAGAGTTTGTATTTTTTCAAGTTTTAACAGAATGCACGTAAAATCAACACAAAACAAGTATTTTTTAACTGTTCGACAGCTGCGTCGGCGGCAACGGCAACGTCGGCGTCAACCAATCCAAGCACTTGCACGATTCGTTAAAAACTGTCCTCTGTGTTGGCCATCAGTGAGACTTTAAATGACAATAACGTTTACATTTCGTCGCTGTTGCGCTCCGACGCTCTCAGTTCGCTCCCGTGGCTGCTGCGATCAAATCGTCTCTTGCTGTTACAGTAGCTGTTAAAGCTTCCGTTGCGTTGCGTGTGCAAGCGATGGGTGCAGCAGGTGCGCTGTTAATTAACAGTGCGTGCTCACCCAAAACGTTGAAAGTCAAACCACTTTTTAAATAGACATACGTTATCTAGGCGAAAATCCAACTCATATTTTACAGAAATTACAAAACTATTGCTTTAATATTACCAATTTAATGTTTTCCTTACAACGATTTAAAAGTAGTTTGAAAACATCTAAAAAAATTGAATAAAATAAAATGGATGTTTGATTTAAGAGTTTGTGGAGTGCTTCCGTTGATTGTGGCGGGTGAGATCGATGTAGCGAAAGAATTGCATGTTGCATGGATGGCAGGTGTACGTCATGTGGCCCTTTTCGGTGACCAGGTGCGCCGATAGATGGCCGAGTTGGGCAAAGGATTTGCCGCACTCGGGACAGATGTGGGCATGCTCCAGATGCCGGCTTTTCGTGTGCTTCGCCAGATGATCGGCGGTGGTGAAGTCTGCCTGGCACACCTCACAGATGTGGGCGCGCAACAGGACATGCTGTCGCTGCAGATGGGCACGGATTGCCTCGCGACTCTGGTGCGCCTTGCCACAGAAGATGCAGTCGAGCGGATTGCGATGATGCGCCAGCTCCACATGCTTCAGCAGACAGATGCTGCCGGTGAACCCATTGGCGCAAATTGGACAAACATACGCACTGGGCTTGAGCTGCGGATCGTAGATGCACGACTCCTTGTCGAGGTCCATGGGCCACCCAAATGTCAGATCATCGCCGCAGTCAACCGTCGGCAACAGCTCGTCGATATTCTCCTCAAGCATTTCCAAATCCTCCGTTTCGTCCACAACGCTCTGGCCATCGCCAACCAGGCACAGACCATGCTCGCTCTCCGCATGTCCCATCAGTCCGTCCATGCAGCTAAACGCACGCGCGTCGTTGCAGCTCGTGGCACACAGGGCACAGTAGAAGAGCGATTGTTCGCCGTGCCACGAGACCACATGCCTGTACAGGAATATGGAGGAGCTGTAGCGTTTGCCGGCTGTGCCACACTGCAGGCACATGAAGCGGCCGTCGGCGTGTTTTCGTTGTATGTGCCGCTGACGCAGCTGCTCATCGCCGTACATGGTGAGGCAGTAGTTGCACATGAACAGCCGGGCAATTCGGGCCACGCACAGCTGCTCGTGCGCCTTGCACGCCACGAATCGTGGAAAGCTCACCAGGCAGCTGCGACAGTGGTAGACGCGTCCAGCAGCTGACGGACACTTGCCACTTGCCACAGATGCGGGGGTGCCACGCTCAGTATTGGCGCTTTTGGGTAATATCCTTTTGGCCGGCGCCATAGCGCCAAAAACGAAAACTGAACTATTTGTACGCAGATAGTTTGTTGTCAGCCTATCGATATATCGATTTTTAATACGATATTTATGTTGTGCGCCAAACACAAAAACTATTTGTATGCAGATAGTTTGTTGTCGACCTATCGATAAATCGATATTTTTACACGATATTTATGTGTCTGTAATTTGTCAAGTTAATGATATTATTTGATGTTATCTGATCAGTTGCCTACTTATCTACTAAATATTTAGCGATTTAAAGGTGCAACAAAATGGTTTAGTGAGCGTCATCGATTAATTGACATTGACTGAGTGTCGTCGCTAGTGTTGCAAATTATCGATAGACACTGATGCACCCATATTTTGTACATCTCCCTACACTGTTGCATTTGCACAGCCAAATAAGATGCCAACCTAAATAGTTGGCTTTGCGTTTATTGTATTTCGATTTCGATAAAGGCGAATACATTATTTTGTGATTCGAATAGTTGGTGTCAAAAGCCTTGGAACCTCAAAGGCAGACAACAGCCGAACAGCAACAAGAGCAACTAGCCATGGCCACCGCCAGTGGATCAGCGACAGCTGGGCATCCTCAACAACAGCAGCAAGAACAGCAACAACAACAATTGGTGCGTTGCAATGAGCATGATATGCGTGAACTGCGCGAAATTAAACAGTTGGTGTGGGGCGCCAGTGTGCGCGAAGATGTATTCAAGCGTTGGTCTCAAGGTAAGTCTATGCAACTAGCCACCCACCAACTCCTCCCCCACCCACACCCAGTTTTGCAATCCCTCCCGCCCCCCTCAAACAGCGCGCGCTTTTCACTCATGTGCGTGCGTCTGTGTGTGTGTGTGTATATGTATGTATATATTGCAGGCTTTGAGTTTAGTGATGTGGAGCCCTCGGCATTGGTGCAAAAACAGGGCGGTCCTTGTGCTGTGATAGCGCCCGTGCAGGCGTACTTGCTTAAGATAATTATTGTGGATATGCCAGGTATTCAACTAACAAAGGTAATCCAACAAAATCCAGTTCCATAATACAATTATTTCAAATGATTCGCTTTAAAATTGCAACAGCTGACCAGTGAGAAATGCCAGAAACTGCTCATCGAGGCGCTGTGCAACATCTTGAAGAATTGCCGTGCGCCGCGCTTTAAGATTGTCACACTGCAACGGCGATCAACCAAAGAGCGTCGCCTGACGCCTCCCACCGTCGCCGATGCCATTGAGGCGGCCACCGAGGCGGAGGAGTCAACTGGTACAGGAATTGATGCGGATGCTGCATCGACTGCTGCTGCTACTTCGATTGTTTCTCCGACTGCTGATCCGACTGCTGCTGCTGCTGCTGCTGCTGGCAGCAGTAAAAATGCATTGGGTACAGGGAATCGCTTGAATTTGGATCTGACACCAGAACAATTTCATGAGCGCCTGCACACACTGCACTTTGAGCATGTTGCGGATGTGGCACGCCACTATCTGGATAACTATAGTCAGCTGTCAAATACGTATGGTGTGCTGTTGTTTATGTATTCGGTATTCCTTACCAAGGGCACCGAACTGGTCACAGCGGATATATCGGATCTATCGGAGCCGCAAATACACAGCACATATGGCTATGGGGCACAGTCGCTAATCAATTTGATGCTAACGGGACGCGCCGTAGCGCATGTCTGGGACAATGAGCAGGATGTGGGCGGCTTAAAGCTGCGCGGCATCTGCGAACAGAGCGACATCGGATTCATTACACTGATGGAACAGATGCGCTACTGTACAGTCGGCTCCTTCTTCAAGAATCCACGCTATCCAGTTTGGGTCATGGGCTCCGATACGCATTTAACTGGTAAGCTATTGCAGTCATCTAATTACAATAACAATGTTTACATAAACAATTGTTTGTTTTTTGCGCAGTTTTGTTTAGCAACGAAAAGAGGCTCGTCTCGCCAGAGACAGCATCGGAGACGGGACGTCGGATCTTCAAGTCATATGATCCGGAGGGAAACAATTTCATATCGAGCACCTTGCTGCGGGATGTGCTAGCCGCGTTGAATTTGGTCAGCGAGCCGGGATAGTAAGTTTGTCCTGAACTCTGCTCTTTAGCCAATGTCTAATTGCACCTCCTACCCATCTCCTCCTTAACTGTGCACAGTGTCAATTTCATGCAGAAGCGCTTGGATCCAGAGAATCTCGGTATTATACTCCTTAACGGCTTCATGGATGAATTCTTTCCCTTGGAGCGCCGCTCAACGCCGGATACATTCGACCTGCTGCATTACAATGGCATACCCGGTTCCAATGATAGCAACAAGGTGGGCATCATTCACTCTCATTTATCCCATCGCGTAAACAGTTCTATAAATATCCCATGAATCAGCTGCAATCTTTCTACTCTTGGAGCTAGATCTTTTTGGATGTACTCGAAATATGATATTCAAGCCAGTAAACTTTATTTTTTGATTGGAATGTTAATGTTTGTACTCAAGAAATTTCATCCAGATTAGATAGCACATCGGTGTGGTTCTGATCGAACGTTTATATTGGGGCTGCCATAGGAACTAGCCGAAAATCAGGTTACACTATAAACACATGTTCGCTGATTGTTGAAATAAACAATTCCTTGCCCATATACAGCTGCGTTCCAAATAATAGTAGTATCATATGTGTGTATATATATATATAATAATAATAATAATAATAGTACACACATATATTTTGGAAAATGCTATAAAAACAAACTTAAAGCAGTTTAAAAATTATGAACATTTGATTGAAATTTATTAATTTGTATATTTATTCTTATTACATTATTATTATCAGCTTTATATTTCTAAAATTATTCGAGTATTTCGAAAATAAGAGTATTTTTCCCTATATTAAAGATTTTGAAGAGGTCTCGATTTGATCATTGATTGACAAAATGACTCATATTTTTGTTAAATGTTGCTGTTTACTGCTTACAGGTGCGTTACTATTGTGGCTCGGCCATACTGCTGGAAGGTGATCTCAAGTCAATATGCACTTCAAATCCGATGGTCACTTGCCTGCAGACCAAGTGGCCCAACATTGAGGTCAACTGGCATGAATATTTGCCCTCATTGAATTGACGTCCTTCTTAAATGAATGAATAATAGCAAAAGCAGTAGTAAAGCAGAAACAGAAAACAGAAGCAGCAACAACAGCAAACAAGAAACAAAAGAAAGAACACAAAACAAAAGAACTACGGCAAAAGTAGCGGCACATCTTTATTTCAAACACCTTTCAATTGTTTATTAATAATTTATTGAATATCGTTTCAAAAACAACCAAAAAAAAAACAATTAAGAAAAACAAAAAAAAACGACACAAAAAAAGAAGAGACAACTAACACAACTTACACAAACACACACATACACACTCGCACACACACACATACACCCACACACACACACACAAACATATATACTAAAATATGCAATACAGAAATATGCAGAAATTTTGATTTCGCAACATTAATGCTTTAAACATGATCGCATCCTTATGCAACAAGAAAAACAAAAAACTTATTGAAAATATTATTGTTTGCCATTCTAATTGTAAGATTCACAAATTTATTACGCATATTGTAAACCGAATCAGACAGAAACAAGCAGAAGAATAACTACAAAATTTGCAAACAATATATGCACAACTCTCTCGTAACATACCCACTCATGCACACACATACACACACACAATCACACACACACACACAATCACACACACACACAATCACACACACACACAATCACACACACACAATCATACATATACATACACATTAAAAACAAAAATTTTGTTTTATGGCCTTTTAACAAATTAATTGTAGTGTTTAAAACAATTAAATAAAATTAAAAACCAACTAAATATGTAAACAACAAATCTAACTTACTCAGCCCTCAAACAGAAAAGGATAGTCGCAGTTTAAGCGAATATGTGTGAGAGAGCGAGAGAGAGAGAGAGAGGTGAATTCCACTAAATTTTCCATTTTTGAATTCCGTAAAAAAATGAGAGCCAAACTCCTGGCAATATTAATGCTTTTAGAGCTTCTTAACACTGAAAATCATTTCGTGAGCATTAAAACAATTTGTCATTCGTCTATAAACTACCAAAGCCAAATTAGCAAAATCAATCTTGAAACTTGAATGAATAATTGCCAAAAGCAACTGGCAAATTCGGCCACAATGGAACACATTTGGAATTCCTTTTCATGACACTTTGGTGCGCTTAGCCGATTCCTGCTGCTGCAGTTTATCCTCATAGTAGATAGACAGAAAGTATGCAATGTGATTACGGAGAGACAATTCCCAGTGGTTTACTGAGATCGATTGCAATGCTCTCTCTAAGAACTGGCAAAATAAACTTTAATAAATAGAGACAATGTGTGCTAACGCATCCATCGATGTTGGTGAATTGTTTGCTGGACAGGATGCGGCTGGCTGGATAATGATAATGATGATTCCCTGCTAATGAACGTTGCACTATTTGCCAACCACATTTGGATTAGTTTAATTTGCCTGATATTGAAATTCGTTGGTTTCTTTTCTTTTCTTTTCTGTTGAGTATATGTATTTAATTTTGATTTTTTCGTACAAATATTTTATGTGTGTACATATCTCTGTTAACTTTCATGTTTATTTATAAGCTAGATAAATGTTAAATGTTCATTTTGTTTTTTTGTGCCATTCACGGAATTTGTGTGTTTGTTGTGATCCTTTGCTCAATTGTCATCAAAGTGTGGTATTTTGATTTGATTCCCATTAGGGGATCAGTGGCGAGAATCTGTTATTTCTCCTCACACCATTCGTTCTCCTTGCGCACCTGCTCCTCCTCGGCGGGAGTGAAGTCCTTTTTGATGTTGAACGTCTTTCGAATGTCCTCCGGTGTCTTGCCTTTGATCATATTGGCGACAGTCTTGCAGGTGAGCTCCAACAAGCCCTTAATATCCAAATAGTTAGCAGCCAAAATCAGTTCAAACAATGTGCCCTGATCAACTTTGAGAAAATCGGCATCCCACGATGTGATGTCATCAGTGCGTTTCTCTTTGCTCTCATCATCCTCGGTGGGCTGCGGATCATCTTTGTGATAATTGGCCCACGTCAGAACCTTTCGCAAAATTGTCGAATTTACATTCGGCAAGGGCACAATGGCATTCTCATCGTCCTCCATGCCACAATCCTCCAGCATAGTGCGAATTGTGCCCGAACATTTGGCGATTTGTATGTCCGTATCGAATATCTCTTCATTCGACGATTGCAGTTTAATGTTCGGCATGTTGATCTGCCAAATCGTTTATATATATTATAATATACATATTATACACGAACAAAGCCTTGCGTGTTGAGCAGAATAATTCTTCATAAGGATAGCATAAATCTCTCTCTCTCTCTCACTGTGTGTGTGTGTGTGCATAAATAAGTGTAAAAATGCATTCATCATTGGATAACTGTACAATGCACACACACACACATACACACACAAGAACCACACACATTTTAGTGTGCAACATCTAAATTTGAAATATTGAGCATAAACGCTCTACACAAAGCATCATCTTATTTTCTTTATGACACACATTACCACAATTATATATTAATTCCTCAAGACTCGATAGGTTTTTGAGGATGAGCAGCGTAGTCGGTGCGAAAAAGGTAGTTTTATTTTGAATTTTGATACGTATTTGCTCCAGCGCTTTGGAGCGATCGTCTGTCTACGCTTTTAGGAAGACTTGAAATTCAGTAAAGCCAGAGAAACACGAAATCTGATTACGATGTGCGTTTTGCATTTAATCGATTAGTCTACCTGCGCCAGAGTTGCAAAACGTTGAAACTTAATCTATTGTATGAGTAACATTTTACTAGAATAAATTTCGGATCAATTACATTAATGACCAATGATAACAACAAATTTAAATTATGGAAGACACGGATATCCTAAAAGTCTATATCGGGGATTGTCCCTGATAGTTCTCTCATTGTGTCATTAAGAAAAAAGATTTACATATGCACAAATTCCACGTTTCACAACACTAAACATTTACAGAATGCATTTCAATTTAGTTTTAATTGGCGGTTAGTACACCAAAATCAACTTAAAAAACACTATCACTCTGTTTGAGTTGGTGTTCTTTGCGGTGTCCACTTGTAGATTTTCTTGCCTCGATTATTTAATTTTTTCTTTTATTTATTTATTTATTTAAAATTTCCTAGTCATCGACATATATTTTTCTGTCTATTTTTTGAATGATTAATAGAAACAATATATCGATAGGTAAGCGACACTGCGTTTGTGTAATCGTAACTCAAGGGGCAGAAACACTGTTAAAAAACCGAGTTTCATTTATTTCCTAATAGAGAACTGTGCAATGTTATCGCAACTGTTAATTAACATTTAATTTGTATTGCTCTGAGTTTTTGTCAACACTGCGTTGTCCCTTGTCCTCGTTCAGTGAATAATTTTTTTTAACTCGTTACGCGACCGTATTTGCTGGCAATGTGGTATTTGTTGTTTGGATTAAATAATATAAACATAGACATATATAAACAATAATCCGCCGCTCCACAAAAAAAGAAGAAAATTGCGGGCGCGTGTGTCAACAATTTTTTCTCTTCTTTTTTTTGGCATTTGCATACATATACATATACATATATACATTTAATGCGGTGACAGCTACGTGCAGAGCCAAAACCAAAAGTAAAACCAAAATCAACAGGTAAATACGAACAATTAGATCAGACAACTGTGTATACAATCATATATATATATATATATATATATATACATATATATATGTAAGTGCATATGTACACATACAATGCATATAAAGACACCAATCTATATATATATATATATATATCGACAACATGTTTGAAGTGAAGTGTTATTCCAAGTCAGTCAGGGCCTCACAGTTATTAATAATCGTTGTCTGACTAACAAAATAACAGCAAAAACACAACGCCGGCAGTGACTGTGACTGTGACAGTGACAGTGACAGTAACAGTGACTGTGCAAGCAATTTAATTGCGCTGCAAATTTGACAATTTTGTGTTCGTTTTGTAAAATATAATATGGCTATAGAGAGATATTCCCCTCTGGCATTGTCAAGGTCAGCTATGTAGTGTAAGGCTGACAATGCACTTGCCGCGCGTTTATTGATTTGCTTTTGGGAGCAGCAACAACAACAATAACAGCTGTCCAACGTCAACATTATTTTCAACACCCCTCGGTGCAAAACGTATGATAATTGTTGAGTATTTGTTATCAGCTGCCATTGCCATTGTCCCGAGACAAGTCTTTCTTAAAGTAAAACGTTCTAATTATGTGCAATTTTTATTTGATATTTGTCTCAATCATATACATCATTCAATTTAGCATTGTAGCTCTCGTTCGAACAATAATAATAATAATAATAATAAAAATAATAGAATTACGTTTCAAAGGACTTTTTCACCACTGCTAACAAATATTAAAAGCGTACACTGTGGCGCCACCTATCAAATGTGACACTGAACTAGTAAGGAGACGGAGAAAGAGGGAAAAAACTAGAAAGAGAGAGATAGCCTTGACTCTAACCTGGACTCTTGTTATTTGGTCGATGGCGGCAGGCTCCTGTTGCTTCCACGCATACACACACACACACACAATCAGGTACACTTGAAACGTATGCTTGCCCCTAATACCTGGATAAATAATGCATGAGGTCATTCGTTGCGTTGCGTTGCGTAGCTGACAAATTAGCATTCTATGCTATGTGCTATTTACTATTTACTTCCCGGTTTCTGCAAGGTTCTGTATTCGTGGACAAAATTCAATTGCCGCAGATTTCTCATTACTTAACTATTCCGCTCTGCGCCCCATTAAATGGACTCTGTTTTCAATATGGATCAAAAGCGATAAGATTTATATATGGATTGTAGTACTTAAGTAATTACTCGGTCAAGTGTTCAATGTTAGTGTGTGTGTGTGATGTATATGTCCACAGCACATGATGATGATTGTGATAAGCAGATTCTTATCAATTCACAACAACCTTTTACTCTTGAGCTGCCCGGTACATCCATCAATCTACTACCTGCCGTCACATGACCTATATATATATATATATATATATATATATATATATATATATATATATATATATATATATATATATATATATACTATATAATACTATGTATATATTTATATATATATTTATCTGGAACGCCACTTGAATTCGTTCTGTTCATTTTCCACATCGTTTCACTCGGCAATCAGATCGGCATATGCAGGCTATATATTTAATGCTGGTAGAAAACGTGATTTTCGTTTATCTCAATGTTTATTCAGCTGTAAGTTTTTTTTTTCCCCTAATTTTCGCCTGATAATGATAATGAAGAATATAGATACACAACAAAAAAGGTTGGGAAAAACCAGATATTATATATTCATGAGCGATTAACTGTGGCGTAAGTTCAAACAAATAAGAAGTAGCCTGGAACCAGACCCGACGATATCTTGTGAGGTAAGTAATTGAAATATCCTAAGCGAGATACACGATATACTTAATTTAATTTGTTTAGTTTTAGATGCAGAAATCATGATGAAAATCACCAGGAAACTGAGGAATGCAACAGAGTAAAACATTTGCCAAGATAACACTGATAACACTGCCTATAATCCCTAAGCAGAACATACATTGTATGCTTGGTGCTATAATACAAATACCAATAAGCAAAGCAAGGAGTCAACAAACATTATTTAATCGTCTGGAAGAACTTGCACTTATCAAACTCTTTAAAAGTCGTCAACTACCAATACTACTGACTGTACAAGGTTAGTTACTGCAAATGACGCATTTAGCGGCAGATATATGTATATATATATATATATATATATATATATATATATATAGTGTATAATCTTGATGCATTTGCTTCATAAGGTGATAAGATATCAGCAACAAGTATGTTCGACGTGTACAACTCACAAAAGGTACGATTGGCCAACAAACAGGACGGGGCCAAAGATCAAAACGCTTGACACGCCCACGGCAAACGGAAAATTTAGCGCAGCAATTCATGATGATGATGTTGATGATGATGTCGTATATGGCCGTTAGATTTACAATTGTATGCCAGTTGATTGATTTGGCTGGACGCAGCAGACGGCCGACATTGTCGCCGAATTTTGACCTGCCTTTTGTTATCAGTAAATTGCCATTGATATGAGCACAAGCTATACACTATATATACTAAGTATAATGGCAATAAGTTCACCGTCGTGGAGATTTCTGGCCTGTCTGCCATCGGCGATAAGTTTGAAATGGTCCCAAGTGGGCCACCGGCAATCGGTGACCGGCGACTGGCATTGATTGCAGCTGTCACGTGAATTTAGGGTATTATATAAATGTCAATTAAAATCGTATTTGGCTTAATAAATGCTAGTCGCTAGCTAATCGCAACAACGCATCGCATATAAATAAGTACATACCATATACAATGGTAAAGTTCCGCAACCACTTGTGTACTATTCATATAAAAAGAACGGTTTATGGCCAAACTCTTATGTTGTTGCCAATAACACTTGTTAATTGATTGACTCGCCTCGACTCGTTAATTGTTCGCGTAATTGCGCTTAGGGAAAGCCAGAGTGGTAAATCAGCCGCACATTGCTCAATTGTTATTTATTGTTGATGTAAATTGCATAGAATTCTATATTCTTGTTATATATGTATGAATGCCATATCGGATCTTAGTCCTGATTAAAAAGTTCATCAAATATTGTATGCCTTTTGTTGTCGTTAATCGCTATACGTTTACTGTGTGTCAAATTGAAGAATCTGTTGTTGTTGTTGGTGTTGATATATATATATATATATATATATATATATATACATATATCCTTGAGAAGGACTCTCGCTTGTGGAGCTCTTAACTTTAACCATTAACATTTATGGCTAATAACTAAATTGTGACCTATCAATTTGTATTTTATACAATATGCAAGAGAATAACAAATCGATACCGACTCAAACAACGGAGGTGCAAATAAGCAAATAAGGCTGCTGAATATTTAAAAAAAAAAAAAAAAAAAAAAAACAAGTCGTGGCACGAGAAGTCGAAGTCGAAGTCGAAGTAGAAGTCATTTCCACGACTCACTTACGTTCACACTCAGAACCACCTTGAACGCATTTCAATTTCTCAAATGGCTAATCAAACATTACTCAATGGTTGCGTTACGGGGGGAGGGTTAAAAAGGGTTGGGGTTGGTGCTGGTGGTGCATTGGAGGTGTATCAATTTCCATTGCAAATAGAGGAGTTGCTTGTTGCCTGGTGGCCGGTGGCCAGTGGATGGCAGACTGTTGCATTGGTCACGCAACCACACCGAACCACACTGAACCAACCAACCGCATTCAATTCAATTGATTTTATTGCTCGTCAAGAGTTTCTTCAATTAATACACAACACAACGGTCATTTGCTTTGCCCATATTCTATGCCATACTAATCAATTTTATTCGCTTTGCGTTTCTTTCAGCCAGTGAAAAAGGGCAGAGTCGGAGCTAACTGAAGTGATAAACGGACGGCTTGGGGGCAGAGCCGTCGCATCCTTATACTTACACTTACACGCCGGAGTCGAGGAGAACAGTCGCCATCACGACGTCGCCGCCGCAAGCGCCACCTTTGTCACCCGAGCACTTGGACGACGCCAGCGCTGCCGATCGCGGGCGTGTCTACAAGCTGAGGAAGAAGAAATACTTGAACGCAGCGCACATCACATAGATTATATAGTTTAGGTAGCAACACGAGCAGCCGATCATCATCAGCAGCAGCAGGAGCAGCAGCAGCATCAGGAGCAGGAGCAGGAGCAGAGCAAAGACGACAGAGGATAGCGGATAGTGGATAAGCATAGCATGCCCGTACAGTCACCAATTGAGATTAGCAATCGCGCCATCGAGCATATCGACGATGTTGATCCGCTCGAATATCATGGCCATTGGGAGCCGGTGGGCGTTGCACGCGTTCAAAACACTGGCACCTCGGCCATGGTCACATTCAGTAAGCGCAAACAACAGCCGTATATCATTGGTGGCGCCCTCGACATGGATATGTACATGTTCGAGCAGCTGCACTTCCATTGGTCCGACACGGACGAATCTGGCTGCGAGCACACGCTGGAGGGCATGAAGTACTCGATGGAGGCGCATGCCGTTCACTATAATGCCAAGTATAAGGATTTTGCCGAGGCAAAAAACAAACCGGACGGACTCGCTGTTGTCGCATTCTTCATACAGGCCTGTGGCGATAAGGATTGCCCCGAATTCAAGAAGATCACCGAGGGTATACGCATTGTCCAAAAGATACACACAAGCGCATCCCTCGACTCGGGTATGCACTCAAAAAACCTAACCAATAATTAGATATGTATGTGAATAATTATCATTCGAAATTTGATAGACTGCCTGTCCTGGATCGGTCTGCAGGAGCTAAGCAAACACTATTATACATACAAGGGATCGCTGACAACGGCGCCGTACTTTGAGAGTGTCACATGGATAATTTACCGGACGCCCATCTATGTGTCGCGTGGCCAGGTAAACTACACATATCAATATCGCCACCAAATCTGATCCAAATAATTTTGTGCATTGTTTTGTGTAGGTCGGCGTGTTCCGCAACTTGCAGTCGTGCCCCAAAGATCAGTCCAAGAAGATAGTCAGCAATTATCGTGAGATTCAGCGTCCGCACAAGGATCCAGAGATCTTCTTTGCGCGCAACACAAACACAAAGTCCAAATTATGATGTGCTTGTCCTGTCTTGTTGCGCTGTCATTAATTTGCCATGATGTATATGGTGCATCTACCAAAAAAACTAGAAGTTCAACTCCACTCCGAAATAACCTCATCAAAGTCCGGCTCCATGGTGATTCTGTGCGGCTTTTGGTTATCTTATTTACTTGTTTTGTTTTTTTTTTTTTTCTTTCCTCTCTTTCTGTGTTTTTAATGTTTTGCTTTTTGCCTACTACTTGTAAATCGATCTATGATGTATGTCAAATGTAAATTCTACAATTCGATGGTTGTCAATAAGCTTTTGTTAACTACTGCCCCATGTACATAGCTAAGCACACACATAAACTTACATCTAAATATCAGCGTTTGTAGTTAATGTGATTACAATGCGCGAATCATAGTCGGATACAAGCGACTGCCTTGCATTGAATATTTCTCGGAAATATTTATTAATTATTATTACATACAACCTTAAAAAAAAAAACACCCATCTACTGAATATGTATAAACTTTTAAATTAAGCAAACCTAATTTTTTGTATGCAAACCTGAATTTCGAAACTATCAATATAATATATATATATATATACATATACATATAACATATATATACACCATATATATGTAGATATATGTATGTCATATCGTGCGTTAATCAGCACATGTGTATATGCGCTACTATAGCTTTTCTTTGTTGGCCCATCATCTCTTAGTCTGATTCCAGCAGCAGTGGCACCAGATGCTTCACAAACCACTCCTTGGGTATGGCCAGATGATCGCCTTCGATGCTTAGAAACTGCAGTTTTCCACGCAAATTCATTAGCTCCAGTCCAAGCTGCAAGCAAGCAGGCAGGCATTCATATTAAATGGAATGCAATTTCAATCTCATCGGGGAACTTACATTGTTGAAAACTTTGCTCTGATTGAGCGGCAATATGGTTTTATCCTGGCCAGGTGCATAGAACTCAAACCACTGCGTCTCCTTCGGCTGCACAATGGTGTCGTTGAGAAACTTGACCATTACAAATCTGCCAAGAATTCGCATTCATTAACACATCAAATGAAATGTCAATCATTGACACGCCTCTCACCTTGTCAGCTTGTTGAGATTCTCCGCATATCTTTCGTTGACATACAGCTCATTGTTGATGTCCGCCAGAAAACTGCTCTTGAGCCGATAGCTGCTCTCGTCGAGAGGATCGTGCCAATATGTGGCCTGGACCAGATCATTTTGTACCCATCTGCATATATATATATATATATATATATATATATATACATTTTGTACAGTTGCGGTCAAAATAATAGTACTGCTGCTTCTCAAAGCATTGCGTAAAAATGTGGTGATCAAATCGAGAACTCTTCAGAATTTAGAAAAATTCAATTCGGCAAAACAAAAAATGTTTTATTTTCCAAATACCTAACGTTGTCAAATATACCCACCCATCATATCTAGTTTTTCGAAATATTATTTAGCCGCAGGGAAAGCTGAGAAAACTTCACTATTATTCTACTGCTATTATAATGATAAATATAAATAATAATTTAATAAAAATAAATATACAAATAATCAATTCAAGGACTTTAATTTGTATTGTTAATAAATTTGATAGCTATGCCAACATTTAATGCTTACTTATCTTCAGTATTGATGGCTTGTATTTAAATCAAATTTTTATAATTGTTAAACTATATTTTACCATTTTCCACAACGGGCACTACTATTATTTTGACCGCAGCTGTATGTATATGGCTGACATTACTTACTTCTCGTAGGCGGCATAGTTGAGGAGTCGGGTGATGTGCTCGCAGCTGCTGACGCTCAGCGTTGGACACTTGGGCAGGCCAAAGACACCCTGATGCTGTCCGCCCAAACTGATCAGCGTTCGCATTCGCGGTACGGGGCAGCGTTGGGCCACCGCTCGACTGCGCCGGAGCAGAAAGAAGAATGAAAAGAATGCAAATCCTTGTCCACTGTCTACTTACAGGAATTGAGCGCCCTGCGAGAAGCCAATGGCATTGTAGCCATTGGAGAGTTGCTCATCTTGGGCCAGCTGTTTGCAGACGTAGTCCACCTGCTTGTTGGGATGTATGAAAAAGCCGCTTTCATAGTCCAGCACAATGTTAGCACCGATTTCGAGGGAACGCACATAGCTGACATTTGTTTGCTCCATGATCAGTTTCTTGATGGAGCCCAGACTGAAGGGGAAACAACAAGTGTCGCCCATGCCGTGCCACAGTACCACGGGCAGTACATTCCCATTGCTGCTGTTGCCACTTTCTGCTTTGGCATGGCCAAAGTACAAGCAGCTTATCAAATAAACTGCACAGTTGACAAGACGCATTTTGCTCTGAACTTCAACAGTGCCGGGTTTTTAGTTGTTCTTCGTTGTGTTTTTGTTTTGTTCGCTTTATATACAAAGTGATGGGGCTGCCAGATTTTGCGAACAGCTGTCTAAGGCAAACAACGCTGCCACATTTTCGAATGAAAACGGTTGTGAATAAGCAAATGGATTTATTCTGTCCTTCTCCTTGTGACTAACGCACATCACGTCCTTTAAAAATCGACAACAATATGGGTCGAGCTAGAACCTATTTTCTTGTCGCCTGTGTGCTCCTTTTTCTTGGGTAACGTAGCCAATGCCGCGACCTAATCGGTGTCATTGTTGCGAGTGACTACTGTGCTAAGGTCCAAAGAAAGAGATGCGTTCCTAGACGAAGTGATGCAATAAATTTTACTTTTATTAAAGTCTTTGGCGCAGTAAACTTTGTTTTTGATTTGTTGCATCAGTCAATATCCAAATAAGTGCAACAGTTTATGTTGGCTGCGTCAACGATTGTGATGTCTCTATGTGTCCATCCCCATGAGTTCAACCAGTCAGTGAGTTAGTTAGCGCCCTCTATTTCTAGTGGATTGTGGGTCACTGTCAGATGCTTGCTGATATGCGTTTCGTAGCAATTGACCGATGACAGACGACTCTTGGGCGTTAAATTCAAACAATTTAAGTTGAATAATTAATTAAAACCATTAACCATGGGTCAGGTATATATTTAAGTATATTGAAAGCAACTTGATCAAAGCAAAATTTGAGCTCTTTCTATGTAAAATTTGTACTTAAAAATAAATTTCTGACTTCTAATCGAGCACTTGAATATATCTGCATATACATTGGTATGTGTGAGTTAATTATGATACAGGGCACAATTAGATCGAGTCGATTGATTCAGAGACATTGTCCTTCGTGCAGCACACACCAGTGCGGCACCACAGCATCCGGATGGATGCCACGTGCGATAAGCCGTTCCCGATACCGATAGAATCGACGTTGAGCCAAGGAAGCGGATGATCTCGGATTCGACCACAGGCGCTCGGCGGCAGCACCCGCTCTCGGCCAGATGCGCGCCTCTACAAGAGAGGGATAAGACAGAGACCGAGAGAGGGAGAGAGAGAAAGAGAATGAGAAAGAGAGAGAGAGAGAGAGATTGTGTGTGTGATCGCTTTGTGTGTGAGGAATTACTTACCTAGGGAGTTCTGATCCACATACTCGCTCCACATACACACCTCGCCGCCGAGCACCTGAGCCGCCTGCTGCACCTGAGGCAATTGGTTGCTGGCAGCGCGTGGTGCAACTGGTAGCGCATTGTCGTACACCTTGCGCCAGTTGTAATAGCTGGTGCTGCCCCAGAAACCGTGATCCAAATACCAGGCATCCTTGGTGGAGATGAGCAGGCGATAGCCGCGTTGCAGCAAATTCCGATTGAGCGGATCCTGTGCCCCGACCCACGTTTGGACGATGAAACGCTCCTTGGGCAGCAGCTGTTCGATGTGCTCCGGGTCGGTGAGGCGGCTGGACCACAAGATCACCGGCTTCGCCGCACTGACACTTGGAAACATGCGACGGTTGATCTCATCCCATGCCTGAAGATTGCGCTGATGAAATTGCGACCAGAGGCGCAGAAAGCTCGCCTCGCTCAAATCATAGCCGCGCTTCTTCATTTCGGTGGTTATCTCGTCGGTGTGGTTCCAGCAGGGCACGTACACCTCATCGCCGCCCATGTGGATGGTCTCCTCGGGTGCGCCCAGCTCGGCAACATCCTCGAGTATCTCTTTGAGCACCGCATACATGTGCTCGTTCAGCGGATTCAGTTGGCCACATGGTGGCTGGACACAATAGTTGCGCCACGGCGTCCGATTCAAACAGACGGACATGTTGCCCATGCCGGAGGAGGGTCCCCACTGCCAGCCGTTGCCCGCATGCGAGGGTCCATCGATTTCGAGGAGGATGCGTATGCCACGCAGCCGTGCATATTTCACCAGATTCACGGCATCCATGTGCGAGTACGTCTGACCCGTGGAATACGCACCATATTGTTGCATTTCGGGCACACGCGTTATCTCTAGCGGAAAACTATGCGTGTCCACCACATGCCAATGGAGTACATTCAACTTGGACGCTGCCATCGCATCCAGGGTGTTCCGCATATACCGCAGCGGCATGAAATTACGAGCGGTGTCCAGCAGCAGGCCGCGATGCGGATAGGCGGGTCGATCATGCACCCGTGCGGCACTCACCAGCAGCAGTCCATTGGACAGACTGCCCGTGACCAGATTGGTGAGCGTTTCGAAGGCGTGCCGTGCTCCGTAGACCGTCGACGCCTTGATGTCGACGAAGGTGACGGCGTCCGTGGTGCGCACGACCATCATGTAACCCTCGTCTGTGGTCCAGTCGAGCAGCAGGCTGCTATCGTTGACTGCCGCCTTGACCAGCACCTCCTTGCTGCTGCCCAGCGTGCAATTGCGCAAGCATTCCTTTAGCAGATTGCTCACAAACAAGCGATTCGTTTCGCGTAGAAACTGGGTTGTTACCGGATTGGGGGCGACCACATTGAACCGCACCTTCCACGGATCAAAGTGCACCCGCTCGTTGGACAGAGTGCACTCAACCGTGGGCATTGGCCAGATCGAGCCATATTTGCCACAGGATAGCCGACAATCCCGTTGACTCTCAAAACGGTGGTGATTGTTTTCCACCACAGCGGCGGATAGCACTTCCTTCTCGGGCAGGCAAAGATCGGTCGAGTCGCAGACCCATTTGCTACAAGTAAATTACGAAATTTGAATCAGCACTAAAATCATCGTCTGCCATATCCTGCTATATGTTGATCCTGATCAAGAATATATATACCTTATGGGGTCAGAGATGCTACCCTCTGCCTGTTACATACTCAAGCGCAAAACTAATATACGCTTTTTACCTAGTTTCATAAAAATACTCAACTCTCTTCGTCTGCTTGTTGTTCGAATTTCGCTTACAGAATTGCAATTATTTAACAGCTCAGTGGCTGTTATTCTCGTATTTAACAGCTCAATGGCTGTTACTCTCGTGCATAAGGCAAACTCATCGCTGCATCACTTAATTGACAGATTTACAACGGTTACGACTGCAGTAATTGATTGAGCTCGACTGCGATATACCCTGCAGTTAAACAATTTCTAGTTCTATTATAATCCAAAATAAAATCTCATATTGAGCTCATTTCTTAAAGTTAAAATATATTTACGCCTGTTGATATTAATGAGATTAATATGAGAATATATTTTCGACTATAAATTGGACGTTTCTAATTTGATATTAATGAAATTTTCACAGTTGTTCAATAATATGTTAATGTAAAAAATATATTTATAAGAAGCCTCTGCTTATAAAATTGTGGTTTTTATTGTTATCGGAAGTCGATATAAATCGATATTGGAGAAACGGATGCAGCTATCGATATCGAAGCAAACTTGATAAAAGTATAAAAAAACAGAAACACAAAAAATTTTTTATTTTCTAAAACAATCCTGTGGAGTATTTTTTGGTTTAGCATTTGCACAAACCTTCTGCTGTTGCCGGCACTCTCGCTGCTATCGTCAGCGACTGCGACTGCGATAGAGGCTGCGAGCGCTGCACAGAGCAAGAGCGTGAGATTACAATGCTTGAAACGATTGAAGAGCATTTCGTAACCGCTTTGCTCCGCTTGTTCCGTTCTATGTACTATGATGCACTACAATTGATAACCGCTAAGTGTAAGCAAGCTGCGGCAAAAGAACACCAAACCTGACTGCGAATTTCGCATGCAGCACCAATGACCACGGCGCATGCAAATGGGCGCAGCACAAAAACCGAACTGAAACTAAATTAAATGCTGAAAAAAGACTAGCTTATCGGTTGAGCTTATTTTTTGTAGCAACGCGCGCTGGCGTCGCGTCGGCGTTGAAGCGTTGCGCTGCGTTGCGTCGGGTTGCGCTCGTCAAGTTGGCAGAGTCAAAGAGCGAAAATATGTTGCTGTTATTGTTGTTACTGTTATGCTTTGCAGTGCGATGTGGTGAATGGGAAAGGGGAAATAGTAGTTGTTGAGTGGGGGAGGGGAAGGGAAAGGGAGAGGGCGAGGCAATCGCATTGGTTTTGCAGTTGCTGTTATTGCCGCTGCTGCTGCTGCTTTCCCGCTGTCATCTGGGACAAGCACAATCGAGGGCGACCTGATAAAAAGAATGGCAATAACAACAACAACAACAACAATAATTCGATTTTAAAAGTAAATATTTTTGGTATTGACTTTTTAAAGAAATAAAATTTTATATGAATAAAGCTAGCAATAATATTAATTCGATTTTTTATAGAATGAATTAGGTTTAATAATAGGTGGCTCTTAGCTTTTTATACAGATATACTTGCCTATATGGCATAATAATAATGCTTAAGAGACATGATTAAGTTGATATGCCCGATGGAAAGTAGATGAGCAGACGAGAATTGGAAAGCCATAACATGGATCAAAATGTATTCCAAATTGGCGCAAAACTGATTCGCATGCCAAAAAGTCAATGGACAAGTTAAGTTTGCTAATTGCAAAGTCGAATGAGAAATTTTGCACTTGCCTGCAAATGACTTGAAACGGTACCTAGTAGCTGGTGGCAGTGGCAGACCGAACGAACTTGCGAACGATGTTGCAGTCATAGTCCACAAAACTGCTACTTGGATACTTTATTTGTATTTCGATGTTTTTTTTTTTACAGTAATACTTAAAAAGATCCCAGCGCAGAGTCAGAGAGTGGAGAACGAATGCAATGCATACCAAATCAATGGGGTTCCTCTGATTAATAATAATTCCGGCTTAGTGCAGTTTGTGAATTCCATGTATATATTTGCTTGCATTTAAATATATATGTGCATATAAAAAATATATATATATTTTACTGTACTGTGGTATCAATGCTTGCCTTAAGTCAATGTCCGCTTCAAAGTCGGGACTCACTCAAGAAAATTACCTCATAATGGGAAAAAATCACTTTAGTGATTAAGCAGCAAACATTCTGATTTACAGAATGGCAAAGCATATTTATTCTTTTATAAACATGATATCATTTTGAATAAAAAGTAAATAAAATGATAATATATAAGTATGAATACGAATGCTTAAAATATTGACTGATTATACTATGAAATATGCCTTCGACGAGAGGGATCTCAATTAGAGTACGTATTTTTTATTTGTATTTTTTGCTTGTTTTCGGTTATTCTATTCACAAAATCACCCGCATATTTTACACCCTCTTCCATTATGTTAGTATATTCGCACAAACCAAACTCAAAAAGAATAAGTCGAGAGCAAATTAAAAAGCACAAATCCATGAGCTGAAAACTGAAAACTGAAATGTGAACTCATGTGTGTGTGTGTGTGTGTGTGTGTGTGTGTGGGCATTGTTGAATATTATTTTTACTGTATTCGGCATTTACGTCTGCACTCACACTCGCACCCGTTTCACACACACACACACACAGGTCATTTTCAGTATTAATTCCTTTTTATTATTATTATATGTATTTCCAGTTAATTTTAATTTTCATGGTGCGCTTTTGTGCGCTTTCAAATGAATTATGAGAAAGCGCCGCCTTGGCCCATTGTTGTTGTTGCTGTTACTGTTGTTGTTGCTGCGCCAGTGTTGCCGCCTCAGAGTTCGAGCATGAGTGCGAGTGTGAGTGTGAATACGGATGTGAGTGCGAGTGTGAGTGCGAGTGCGTGTGGGTGCCTTAGTTAGTATGCAGTTAGAATAATTAAAAACTTGTGCATAGCGAAGCCAGGCAGGCAGCATCCAAAGCAAAGAATAATTGGTGATGAGACGAGTGCCATTAAAGTATTCATTCGGCTGCAATATAACAACTTACACACACATACATACATGTGTGTGTATGAGTAAGTGTAGTGCATTATAAAGAATTTATTTGCTTATTATTTATTTATTTATTTATGTAATTTTTATTTAAAGTAGACACAAAAATACAAAAAGTAAAAAAAAATTTAATTGAAATTAATCAAATAAGAAATAGTTATCAGTTTACTTAAGCTAAATAAAAACGAAATGTGAGATTTAGTTGTTATTGTAATAGGATTGCTTAGCTTCAAATAATGGTAATCTTTAGCAGTAGAAACAACTCTCAAAAAATAATGAAAGTTTTTTTTTATTACGATTAATATTAAATCATATTCATATTAATATTATTTAACCGAAACATATTTCGGTTCTGCTTATTGCTAGCTAACGGTACTGCTACGCAACTGTTCAGTAAAAAAATGTTTGTTGTTTGTTTCAAATTGATATCGGTTCTGGTAACTGCTGCTTCAAAAATTTTGAATTTCGGTTCGGAACTTCAATCGGTTAATTTCGGTCTCGGTCAATCATAACTTCTGCGTGACTCATTCGTGTCCATCTCTAGGGACACACACACACACACACACACACACACACATGTACACATGTGGGAGCGAAATGAATTTGCTCAACAGTTTCTGGCTTTCTGGGCACGGATTGCAGACTGCAGAATCCGTATTCGAAAACTACTGCGACTAAACTCTCAGCTCCTGTTTCTGCTGCTGCTCCTGCTCCTGCTCTGGTCTTGGTCCACTGCAGGACAATGCAGATGCAACCCCAACCGCCACTGATTATGACGTTGATTACATTGTGGCAGCGCACCCTCTCACGCCCCTCCCCCCCTCTCTGACGACCCTCGCACGCCATGAGTGGTGTCCACCGCCTAGTGGGCATGTCCGTCAGGCCGTCAGTTAGTTCCTCAGTCCGTCAGTTTGTCAGTCAACGGCTGCTTAGAACAATGCGAGATTAAAAAGCTGTAACAAATTACAAGCAAAACGGCAAATAAATTACAAAATAAAAAGCCAGCTTGCAAAAAAAAAAAAACCCGAGCAGAAACAAAAAGTGAACGCAAAAAAAACCCGGAGCGATGGGCGTGGCGACTCCCCGGACCCCGGACTCCGGTACACCATAGAGTTCAGCGGCCGGAATATCAGATGGATATCAGATCATGTCCTGCCCCCGTCGTCTTGTACGTTGTATTGTGCGACGGAACTTATGGCAAAGTTGATTAGCAACTGATAACCGAAAACACACAGATCAGCAATAAAGATAACGCAACAAAAAATAAATAAAAAATAAAAAAATAAATAAATAAATTGTTGGTATTTTTAGAAATGACTGGCATTTTAGTCTAGATTATTGACAAAAAACAAATAAGTAATCGTAGCTGGTGTTATTCAATATGTACTCGTAAATATAAATATTACAAAAATATAACCGAATCAATTAAATTCCACAGCACAAATACAGAAATATATTTTTATGCGTAAGCAGAAAACTTCTGATTCTGATTCTGGATTTCCAATTCCAATTCAAATTAACGATAGTAATTGAGATATTTTAATTTTATGCAATAAATTATGATTAACAGAAATTGAGATAATTTAAATAAAGAAAAAAAGAATAGATTGAATTGGATGTTTTTCATTTTGGTATTTATATTATATTAATTTGATATGTGTGTAATTATTGAAATTTTCTTCTTTTACTATATAAACAAAACAACGACTCTGCCACAAATGTATGTGTGTGTGTGTGTGTGAATTGCCTGTAATCCTGTTGTCGACTTGAATCTTCTTGTCGTTTGCCATTGACATTAGCTGCATTGTTTCAAGCACACACGGGTTAACAACTGCTGCTACGACTGTGGTGACCAGCAAATCAAATCAAATCAAATCAAATCAAACTTAACTCTTCTACATGCATGCTGTGGCGTAGCATTTATTCCGTGCTGCAGGTGCAGGTGGTAGAATAAACTTGCAACGGCAAGAAACTTCGAGCGGAGTAACTCGAGCTAGTTACACTCAGCAAAAATGTATGTTCCTTGTAAAGCGCATTTTAGAAATAATATTTAATATTTTTTTTTGTAATTTGGAAAAAAATCTAGTTAATTGAGATTGTTAAATTGCCTTTTTATTTTGCATATTTTTTAATTGTTTTATACGAACTGATAATATCGACGATTACTGTAACTGGTTCTTGAAGAAATGTTGAGTTTGGCTTCGATTTTGATTACTGAGTTTTGATGGGTTAAAGTTGGAGTTCCGGTTAGGTAAGCATGTATTTTTCACAGTGTTTTCTTTTGGGTGGGGATGGGATAGGGCTTCCCCTACTGTGGCTTACTTGCCATTGTTGTTGTTATTGTTGTTGTTGCTTTCGATGCACATGTTGTCGTGTTTCGTTGCTTTTTGTTGTTGTTGCTGTTGTTGTTGTTGCTGTTGTTGCTGTTGTCGCTGTTGTTGCTGTTGTTGTTTTTGTTGTGCCGCAAACAATGCAAATTGCATGAATGAATGCCATTTTGCATTTGATTTGTTGTTGTTGTTGTTGTTGCTGCTGCTGCTGCTGCTGTTGTCTTCGCACAGAGCTTGCATTCGCATTGAATTTCTCTTTTGATTAAATCAAATGCATAAAATGTTTTCAATTCAATCAGACGAACCGTACAAAATACAAAATACAACAAAAAAAAAAACGGCAGCAGAGAAAAGAGAATCGAAATCTAAATCAAAATCGGCCTCAGCCACCACGCTTAACTTTTTTTTAATTTGTGCACAGTTTTTTTTTGTTTTTTTTTTTTGTTTTTTCTTTATATACCCTACCTGCTTTGTAAGTGTAACTGAAGAGGGTAGTACATATGATCGAGTTGGGCAACAAATAAAATCTCGTCCATAAAATATATATGGAAAAAAACTCAACTATTTATTTTATTTTTCTAATATTAATTTAGAATGCCAACAACAGCTTTTTTAAGTAAGGCCTTAGTCGGAT